GAGTCCCTTCTAGTCAATTTTCCCTGCAGGATAAGAACCTTTGGGAGATGCTACTGTCTCAAGAAGTGGGGACACAACCCAGCACAAGAAATCCCTCTGTATACTAGAAGGTATAAATAATAGACAAACCCTATGCTATTCAGTTATTTAAAAGATCAGGACTCTGTATTTGGTACTAACGCATTGTGGAAAGGAAGGAAGCAACCTGAGAGGTTTAGGGAGTAAGTATTAGGAAAAAAAAAAGGAACAAAAGAGAAGAACGACTTCTCCTGCACTATGTTATGAGACATATGCCAATGAAACCTGCATGACTATACAAAAGGGGTGGAAATACACCTTTTTTAGGTGGGTTCAGGATACTGATACCAAATAACTTGTTAGAAGTCTGTCTTCCCTAACTGCGTATAAAATGTATAATGCTGGTTCTGCTGATGAAGCCTTATGCTTAAATCTCAGTATTTCTCAGTTGTTGTGTTTCATTATGTACAGAGCTTCATATTTAGTATTCAAAGACAAAAAAAGAATCTTCTATAAGTAGTCCACTGTAAGCTTTAGTGGTGGTGATAAAACTAGTGGAACATTGTTTCTTTTCAAATTCTCTTGGAGGGAAAGAAATTTAATACTTGATTTTGCAGTTTTGTGTTATAATTTGACAGTAAAACGTACCAGATTAAGTTATTTTTCTTCTTCTCAGTTGCAGATGTATACATAGAACTGGTAAGCAAATTTATAAATGTAAAGCAGAATTTCATCATGGAGTATTGTAAACTTTTCCTAGCATGTGTTTTTCACATTAGATAAACATACATCCTTCTGCTGGCATGATAATGTATCAGCTTGCCCTCAAAAAATACTCTACAGTGGAGCAAAAGTCAGAATGTTTGTCATTCAGGAGACTCTTTACAGACCTGAATAAACATTGTAGAGATGCCTGAGTCATTAGGGATTTGCTCTGCTAGCTAGGCAATTCTACCACACGACCCTTTCAATGTAAATAACCACCCTTAATTAATGGAAATGCAATATATACTAAGTCATGGCAGACCAAGTAAATTAATAAGTACAGGAGAAAATGTTGTAGCTCTGTTGAAGGCATCAGATGAGGATCTTGCTACTTCATCTCATTAGTTTAGGCCAGTTAAAACAAATGTGAAGTATAAACCTACATTTTTTTACACGGTACAACAGCATTGAAATGAAATACATTTTAGCTTGTGTTAGAATAAGTAATTAGAAGTACAAATTGAGTCATTTAGGCATGTGAATAGCTGTACTTAGCATGCAGTCCAGAACAGCTGCCTCTTGTATCCACAGCTACTGACAATCACAGAAAGAATGGCCAGACTTTGCAAACCCATTTCTGACAGTGCACAAATAAACATCTGGGGCTGGATTTAAAAATGCAGACAGAACTAATCCTTCCCCATTCCTGCTGTCTCGGGAATTGGAAAGGTAAATGTAATTAAGTAAAAACTAAATTTACCAGTCTGCATGTGGAAGCTCCTATTTTCCTTCCCTTGGTCCCACTACCACTGAAAAGCTTTTTTTACTTCCATTTTACTTGTATCAACTACCAATGAAATGTGAAATTCACCTAGTTTGGTTTAATTATTCTTTTCCTTGGAATGATCCAAACGTAAAAATAGAGCAATGTAGCAGGGACATACGATGCTTTTCTTTCAGCTCTGTCTTTGTGTTCTGCCTCCCGTTTTCCAAATGACCATGCCTTTTCACCCTTTCCTTCATCAGTACTTTTCTCTCTCCTTTCTTCAGGCTCAATAATCCTTAAAAGGAATTTACCACAGGAACTGTTAGATTGCTTGAGAAAACAAAGTGGGGAGTCCCCTGAAATTTCACAAATTATCCTGGGGAAAATTAAATTTGCAGGCAGTATGGGGCCATGTTCTAGATCCCTGAATTCCACCCTGCTACAAGAGTAGGACCTGCCTTTTCAATTTACTGTTGCTTTTGTTTCCATTTTCTCCTCCTTCTCCACCTGCAGTTACTTGCTCATGACTTGGAAAATAAGCTTTTTGCAGCAGTGACTGCTTTGTGGTTTTGTATGTGAGCATGGTTTCCACATATTTGACATTACCATGTTGATGGTGATAGAAGTCATCTTTCTCTGGAGAACTCTTGACTCAAAATTCGAGACTGCTCCTGGTTAAAACTCCAAAAGACTGACTTCTGTGACAGTGTTATTATGGTGTTTGGGCAACAGGTGTGTATGATTTTTAGGTACGTTATTACTACTGCCTGCAGAGTAAGGAACCTACAGCTTCTTGAAGGGTTAACTAGCTGTGTGCCACCTCAGCTCAATTCCCACTTTTCAGTTCAGTTTCAAGTTAGCCTGGACATCTGCACTATGAATGCTTACAATCCTCTCTCTTCTACAGGGGGGAACAGTGGAGATGACAGTAATTTTTTAATTTCAGTTACACTCCTTTATTACCAAGAGGTACTTTCATATTATTTGTGAAATAAGAGGTGTAGCCTGCTTTGCACTGTAGAAATGTTGTCGACAAATCATTAATGTGTAACACAAGCATATGCTTTTCCTACAGTATTTCTCTAAGTAAATCTTTCTTATGGATGCATCCAGACCAAAAATATAATGGTCTCATGGTAGTGGTGGCACAGGTTATGGTGTGAAACAGCAAAAGAAGATGGAAGAGAAGGTGCATAGGCTTTTAAACACGCGGATGAATTTTTCTTCTCCGTTCTTCCTTTTGGGTAGTTGAAAATGTAGAGCTTCTGAGCAGGATGTTTTCATGTGTTGGTTTTTGTTTTGTGGGATTTTTTGAAAGAATAGTGTAGGAAATTATGTTAACAAGAAACAAAACTGTTTTTTTCTGCCAAAGGAGATAAGCATTTAATTCCTGAAGTGATTGTAAAGGTAAGATTCATTGATGCCCTTTCAATCCTGCAAGTAATTAGTTGCTTGGGTCTGCCAAAGAAACAGGTACATCACTGATATATGTGTATATATATATGTATATATGTGTGTATATATATATGTATGTATGTATGTATGTAAGTCAAATATTTGTGTTTGATTAGTGCCTAAAATACTAATGGGCTGCTTTCCCCTAAATAACTCATTGCAGTTTCAGAATTTCAAATATTGCATCTTCTTGTTAGTACTACTATAAGCTTCCCTACAGAGTGATTGTATCAGCATAAAACTGTAGAATTTGATTTTTGAACTGAAAACCAAAATATCTCTTGTAGGAACCACACCAACAGCAGCTCAAGCTTGTTCAGGATTCAGTTAGAGCATGTTAAGTTCACAAGTCTCATGAGCAGGTCTTCTCCAAAGGTTTAGAGAACACTGTTGGAGAGGTGAAATCATACAAAGACAACAGAAGGAATTGGAGTTCTTATGTGTCACCTTTCTTCTAATAAATGTGCAATAGTACTACCCAGTGATTTAGACTGTTTACTCTTACTGTAACAGAATAAAATCATGTTCAGGCACAGTCTGTACTATTAACCTTTTCCTTCCACTGTTGTGGTTCCTCAGCTAGTTCTTGGCCCAGCTGGAAAAGTAGCAGCAAATGTTACATACATATGGATTTTATGTGGCTGGCTGGGTAGTTTTTTCCCCCATGTTGTTTAACCCGGTTCAGAGCAGTCTTGAATAACATTGAAGTGCTGCCTCTGACAGCTCAGAGCATTTTGACACAGGTGTAGTTTCCCTCAGGGGACTCTGGGTCTGAAGGCTGAAGACAAAAGAGAATAGATGTCCTTTTTTTGTCCTTGCTCAGAAAGGGGTGCATAGGGTTTATTTAACAGCTTGCTTGTATCCATGGGGCAATATCAAGCAGTAAAATGTTAGTAAGAAATACATTTAGCAGGGGATAGATACTACTTTCACACTGCCCAGTAATAAGCTGTAAAAATCATCCTTGAAATATGCCTCCTTCTGTGATGAAGAATTACAGGTGGTTATAATTCACCAGGCATTTCTGAAAGCAGTGATATGCAAGAGAAAGACAGACCACTGCAGCAGGTGATGTGGGAGTGATTACTAAATAAGAAAAGCTAGAAGGAGAAATTACTTTTCACGACAGTAGGGAGGCACATTTCAAACTTGGCTTATAATTGTATATACTTTCCTGTCTCTGAAATTCTCTTACATATATTAATGTTATAGCAATCTATATGAACAAAATGGGCAGTATGCCAAAGGGGGTTGTAATTGTCAAGTACCTTGGTATTGTTATTGGAGAGGGGAGGAGGATATCCACTAACAGTGTAATTACATGGCAATTCCAGGGAAATTGATTATTATTAGCTTTTTATGATCACACTAACAAAGTCAATGATCCAAGATGAAATAGCAAAAATTAGTGCTTGAACAATATTCAGAAACAAGGTATCACCAGGTGAGATGTATCTGAAACCAGATAATTCCTGAAATGGAAATGGCCATCTCCCATCAATTATAACTATGGATGTGCTCTATTAAAGCCTGATCCACTTTAATGGGGGACTCCCAGCATGAATGGCCACATAAGTATGCAATGACACATACAGGATCGAGAAGTGGGTGGGTGTTTATTCTAAATACCCACATCACTGGGGTATTTGCACCTTTAACCAACAGAGAGAATTACAGGTAGTGAATACAGATCAATTTCTTCAAGTTGGTTATTGCTTTAACAAAATCTTTTGTCACTTTTTCTAACATCCATCTTCAGTCCCACAAACACAGCATGGAGACTGGATACCTGCATAGTCAGAACTATCATTTGTCAGCCATGTCTTCCCCTTTGAGGCTCTGTGGTTTTATATATAATAATTAAAAACACTTCTCTGTGATGTGAGAAGGCTTTTTGAAAAGGAGAGCAAATTGCTGCAATACAATAGCGTAATATTTTTGAAGGTCATAATAATAAAGTAGGGGAAAGAGAATAATCATTATTGCTCTTTCTTGTAATTAGTTTGCTTTCCGATATCCCACACTGTAACTAGAACATTATTCAAGAACACCCATCACAGTGCTTAACAAGATTTAATGTACATTTATTCTTAACATGTGGAACATATAAAGATTTTATACTGAATAAATGAAATTCATTAAGCCAGAGGAAAAGGAGGAATTTACATCAAGTTTTTTTCTTTTTAACTACATTATCTTGAAATACAAATGCAGATTCTTGTCACTGAAAAATCTTTGAAGTTGTGTTTCTTCCTTTTTTTTCCTGTATATATTTTTGTTGTCTGTAGACTGGTAACCATTTTCTTAAATCAATCCATACGTAACCATTTCCACACCTTGATTTATAAAGCAAATTGTGATCGGCTGCTCTCCCGAAATAGAGCATGACTTTATACATACAGAAACTTGTACATTACCCTCAGTTGTTGGTTTTCTGTGTTGGGTTTTTCCTTTTTTCTTTTTTTTTTTTTATTATTTTTTGGAGATATGGCCCAAATGAAAGAAAAAAATAATTCTACTATCACTTTGTAGATACCACATCATGAAAAAGAAACTAAAAACTTTGTACTAAAAAAAAAAAAATGAGGGTATGTTTCATGTACAACTTCTATATACATCACGGCCCTTAGGCAATAAAAAAATATTTTAAAAAATGATTAAAGGAATTGTGAAGAACTGTCATTGTGGAAGGTCAAAAAAAAAAAAAACAAACAGATGTAGACAAGACAGTTCTGGTGAGGAAGCAATTGATGTTTAACTTCAGGTTTTGTTTAAAAATCTTTTCACTTGACTTTTTTGTTTTGTTTTGCTCCTAGCCTAATGTAACCATTTCTCCTGAGGAGAAACCAGTATCGTTTTGGATTTTGACTACTGACTGACACCCTCCTTGATCCCCTACACCTACATCACTAGAATCTTCTATTGCACAGAGCTTTGGGTGATGGTATACAAGTTTTTTTTTATTTTTTCCTTATTTGAAAAAATAAAACACACAGGAACTTGGTAAGTTGGTTATTTTTCACCTTTTTTTTTCAAAGTGGTGAGATTTTTTTTCCATCATACAATGGTTTGCCATAACATTTTTTAAAAGTCACTAGTTCGCTTCCCAAAAAATATGCAATACAAACATGGAAAAGAACATTGTAAAGGATAATCTATGGAAAAAAAAAGTGTGACCTTTGAATGTACTAGACAGCAACTTTGGTTAAAAAAAATAAAATAAAAAGTTGTACTTATACACATAGACAGCAAATATTAATTTTATAACTGTTCAAATTAATAATTTCTTTAATTCCCAATTGGTAAATAGTGAATGGGGCAGAGGAGCAAAGATTCTTTTTTTTTCCTTCTTCCTACGTTGGATAAACAAGAACAGAAAACAGCCAGTTATATGTGACCCTCTAATCTCCACTCACACATGCTTGGCTTCTCACTTATGTCATAACTGCCCAATCTGAAAAAGTACATCACAGATGACAGATGCAACCAGAGAGTTCAGGACAGCAGATATTGAGATATCCAGCAAACGACCCTCGTGCAAAAGGAACTCTGAGCGGTTCTCGTCCACTCGAGCCATGGCCAGCAAGGCCTTGGCTGCCCTGCACATCATGTCTACGCTAGGCGGCTCCAGAGGCGGAGGCTGCATGTGCATGAGGTTATGCTGGCTCTGCTGGTACTGGGCCATAGTGACCCCATCCTCCAGGAAGCTTATCAAGTTTCCGATACTTCCCTTCTGCACAGCTATTGCCCTTGCTGCTAATGTGTCTCCCTGGGCAAGGTTCGATAAGAGCGCCATGGACATTTCTCGGCAGACCGGGTTTTTGCGGTCCCCGACGTACCTAACTAAAGTAGCGTAGAGTTTCTCCTGACGACTGAATGGGGGGGTGGCCAAGATAAGGTCCACATTATTGTCCTGGATACTGAGCTTACATAGGGTCTCCAGCACAAGTCTTTGAGGCGAAAGAACTGAGTTGGGCCCCACGGTTGGAAAAGGATCCTGTGCCTCTGCAGACGGGCACACCATCCAGTGCAGCAAGCCATCCAAAATTGGCAAACAGATGCTTTCTGTGTAAGCAGACAAGTCTAGCTGCCCAGAAATGTTGGCTAATGTGACCAATGTATTATCCCTCAAGACCTCGAGGCAGTCCCACCACCACTCATCCTTGCTGCAGGCCACCCCTTTGTCCTCCTCTTCCTCTTTCTCGTAAGTCTGCGGCGCTCGCTTTCTTTCCGGATGCTCGTGGTGAAGAAGGATCAGCTTTCCCAGGATCAGCACCAAGCCTGGATGTTTGGACATTTCGGTGTCGTTGCCAGGCACAAAAGACAAGCTACGGACAATATTTGACACACAGATGCAGCGTTTGGCCAAGGAGTCTTGCCAGTGAGTTATGGTGCATAGAGGAGTCTCATCCCGGCTCCTTGGCTCATCCTCTAGCAGTTTAATATTCCGGTGGCTTTTGGCTTGATGGATCCCAAAGGGAAATTTACTGCTCTCTGTTTGGGAACCAGAGTTTGAGTCTTCAGGTAATGCTCCTGGCCGAGCTGAGAGGACATCATCAATGGTTGCTGTTATACTTTTTTCTTGTTGTTCCTCAAATTCACCTTTCCCCTCGAGGTCCTTCTTTTTGCTTGGAGAGTTCAAGGAAGGAGGGGCTTTCCTACGTGGAGGAATCTCCATCTTGCTTTCGAAGTGAGTCTGGATATGCTCAGTTGTGTCACCACCACCAAGCTGCCAGTGGAGAAGTCCACTATCAAACTCCTGAACGCGTCCAAGTTTGTCAGATCGGTCAACAACAAATAGATTATTTTTCTTTACAATCTTTATTGGCAGCTTGTCAAATTTACTGGCTTGTTTTGGCCTCTCACTTGGATCAGCAATGGCACCAGGAGTGGAAAAAACAATGCTCTTTTCTTCTCCTTCTACCTTTTCATCCTCCCCCTCCTCCTCATCTTCATCAAAATAGTCAATACATTCGTCATTCTCATCTTTTCCAGTATCCTCTGCCAAGGACTGACTATCATCTTTCTTGGCTGCTTTGTGATCAAGTGCTTTGTGGCCTGGATCGCCCACTTCATATTCCATAAGGATTCCAAAAATGTCAATCAGGCATTTTCTAAAATATTCTACTAAAAGCTCAAGAAATCCAGATAACTGAGGGGAGAAGAAAGAACATAAAAATCAGATAAATATTTTTGTCTGCATGGAATTTTATTAGGAACACTGTTGCATACATGCCTACATCCCTCATCCTGCTGTGGACTTGTGGCTAGGTCCTGCATTATGGAAGTTAAAAGAAACTCTTCTAGTGTCTGTCTAAACAGTATATAATGTCAAACTATCATGGCTCCATTTGCTTGAACTGTAACAGCTATAAGAAGCACAGAACTTTAATCATATGTCTCCTTTAGGCCTAGTAGACGTCTTAGCCTAGCTGTTCCATCCCCTTCCAAGTGCCTCTTATTCTTGTTTATTTGTACAGAGTACTGAAGTTCCTAACTTAGTTTTTCTGATTTGTATTTTTATTAGATATCTGAAGTTTACAATTCTCCCTCTCCTTCTTTGTCTCTGCAGTTCAGGGTCTGAGTACTGACAGCCTAGATTAACATCCCAACTCTACTGAATAGCTCCCTTTTTGCCTGGCAATAGTTAAAAATTGTTATTGGAGCCTGGTGTTGTAAGTCACCTTCCAGAAACAGTTTTCATTTAGGTTTAACCTTCTTAATTAACTTGTAATCACCTTCTTATGGAAAGGTAGTAGCTGATCTTGGTATTAACTTACGCTCAATGGCTTTATTATTAAAAATTCTTTGCTGTTATGATGTGTTCAGCCCCATTGTCAGGCTTTTAATTTGTTTGTTTTTTGTTTGTTTCTTTTGAAATTGTGGGCTAATAAGTTTTCAGCAAAATGTATCCTTTTGTCCATTCTAGATTCTCTTATGATTGCCAAACCCTTGAACAATTAATAACAAACTGATGCTTATGAACTGCACGAATTATGAGTCATCATATGGAGTCCTGACCACCACTGGAAATAAGAGTTCAAGGCCAAAGTAAAAAAAGACTATTTATTCAAAAGAACATATATATTTACAATATGCCTGGTATTCTGTGCAACTTGCACAGGGTGCAGTAACACAGTTTCTAATAGAAATCAGAGGAGATTCACCTCATTTAACTTCAAACACTGTACTAGCTACACACCTAACCTAATTGTCTAGATTCCTTTTTATAATCAATGGTCTTTTACAGGCCATTTCTAGAATATGATTCATCTGACCTATTTTAGATCTCTTCTTCTACATGAGATGAATCATGCTATAGATACCCTAGTTCTAAAGTTAGGTGGGATGAAATGTACCATTTGTGTCTGCATTTTAAAAAAAAGTAATTATATTTAAAAAATTATGAGTTATACTATTAGTAACCAAGGAAAGAATGAAGAGAGAAACTGAATATTTAATTTGTACAAATTTTAGATAATGTGCATTATCAGCATGCCATTTATTACTATCACCTAACAGGCCAAAGATTAGAGCAGGGCTGGGAGGTAGTGAGGGAAAAATCACACACAGTTAAATCCTGTATTACTTGCATCCTATGGACAGACAGTGGATATTAGCCTTTAAATTGTCACTCTGGTATTTCAGTGAAAACTTAATTCACTGGAAGAAGAAAACAAACAGAAAATAAGCAATTAAAAAAAATCCCACAACCTTGTATGGAACTACTGAAGAGGGACAAGTCATCACCAAAAGACAGCTTTCAAATCAATTTAATATGGTTTTGCAAAGCCTTTTATGGAAACATAAATTAAGCAAGATTACTAACATACTGCTGTTTTCTGGGACTGTGCTTGTACTATGTGAATTTATACATTAGTCTTTCGGCAGTGCTAAAACTCCTATATTCCTACATGCTCCTTTCAACAAGAAACCTCTGTCTTTCAGGCTTATAATTTCCCCTATTCGACTTACATCCACCTTGTTACTCACTGTTACCAATCATTAACAAGTGGACATTTTGCAATATTCAAATTTATGTTGATTAGAAGAAATTGTGAAGGCCATCAGCATTTTGTAGGTATCTTATTTCAGTTCTCCTTCCTTGGAAAGTTGAGAAGTATACTGCTTTCCCACCTACCTGAGAGAGGTTGAAAGTAGCAACAGTGCTGTCATCATACAGAAGAATATTAATAGTGTCTAGCGCCCAGGTACTTTCAGCCAAAAGACCAGATTTAAGAGACATCATCACTCTCCAGGCCTCAGGAGTTACTGGAGAAAGAAGGAGAAGCAAAACGGCATTAGTGCATCCTTGAAGACTGTTAATGAGTTCCTGAAAGATTAAACTGTGACATTCTGAAAATGCAAATTTAAATTAAATAGTTACTGAAACACTGGTGAAGACCCTACTTAAACCACTTAGTTCTGTGCAGTTTTCTCTAATTGCTGATCAGCCTTAATACTGGAGAATATCTTAAGATACCCATTCTTCTTGACTTTGCTGAAGCTGAAATAATCATAAAAACTTCAGGAAGCTGACTAAACTGAATAATCAGTAAACAAAGGTAGAATGTCAGGAGCGTGGAAATCTGAAGTTTGAGAACTTGAATGTATGAAATGTAACTGCAATTTAAGATAAGAAGATACTTGGGAAAGAATAGGGGGAGAAACAAACAGGACAAATAATATGCAATGAATAAATGGACCATTCAAGGGAGGCAGAGACTGTAACTACACAGCAGAACAGCATGAGCTTCCCTGGAATAAGAACAGAGAAAGCTTTGCTCAGCTAAATGTTGCATTGATGACTTAACGGACATTCTGAAAGACCTTTCAACACATCTCATTTTGAAATCTTGAGGCAAGCTTTGTTTTTAATGCATTTCTGGAGACCTTAGGTCTCCATATAAAATACTGCTTTATTTCATGTCAGACTGTCTGGGATGAGTTTTACCTATCATCGTCACTGATGCATATGCTATTACCTTTTTATTGGAGACAACCACATCATAGTTACCAAAGTTCCCTATTTGTCAAAAGTCTTAAAATGTGAAAAAAAAAAAAATCAAAATCAGAGTCCCCTTTTCACAGCTTATTTTGGTTATTTAGCTTTTGTTTTGATGCTTACCAATATCTTTTGAGGTAATCTTTCGTCTTGGTTTTAAGACTGGTTGGGATGCTTCTACAGAGCCCGGGGGGAAGGTAATTTCTCGCCTAATCGGTGGTGGTTGGGGTGGAGGTCCCGTGACCTGCGACACTGGAACTGTGGGTATAACCTTTTGCATCTTCATGGAGGGGAGGAAAGGAGACTTGCTTGGAGACATACGGTTTTCCAAAGAGCGCTGGAAGGATGCTGGACTTGGAGCTCTAGAGATGTGGTTTGGCATAGAGGGTGGTGTCTGGTAGGATGACTGAGGAGGTCTAGTGATAGGCTGCATGGAGGCTGAGGATGACATATAAGAAGGCTGACGTTGGTTGACATGAGAAGGCCACTGACTCTCGTGGTTTATCCTCTGGTCAGGTACCATCATATCATCAGTGCGATTCATCCCTGGATACGGTGGGGCCTGTGCAGGGCCTCCTGGACCTTGCCTGTTCTGGTAAGGGTAAGGCATATCATTTCGTGTCGGCCACATGTTCTGCTGAGGACCTTCACTGGAGGATGACGACTGCATAGGGCCACCAATCATCTGGGGAGGTATTCCATGCTGCTGCATTTGTCCTGGGCCCTGCATCCTCTCCCTGTTATATGGATATGGATACTGTCCCTGCATGGGTCTCCTGTCAGGCCCTGTGTAAGCGTTGCTGTACTGGTTATACATTTCCTGTTGCTGGTTGCCATACTGCATGTTATACATATCCCCTTCATGGCGTTTGGCTGGAGGCCCATACATGCCATCCATGTGTCTTTTATAGTTCTGAAAAAAAATTTTCAAAAGATGTGTCACTTTTACTCCATACACAATACAAATATACTGGCTGAAGGCTCGTTAAAAAAGCTGGAGGTGCTTTGTTCTAGAGGGATTGTGCTGATTCCAGAGTCAGGGATGCAGTGGTACCGTTAGCCTTTCTTTTTAAGCCTCTGTTTTGCTGTGCTTGCAACCAAATACTAAAAGGAAACTTATCCTTGGGCTAAATTTTCTTATGCTTCCTCTAATTTTCTCCCTTTCCCTTTCCTTTCCTATCTGTCAGATTAAATTCCACTGGTCATTTCAGACATGCATGCAAAGGCAATAGTCCTCACTAACTAAAATATCTTCACTTCTTTTTTATGCTTAGTCTACTAAGAAGAAAAATCTTTAAAAAAATTCAGAACCACCCAGTGAATCTTTTCAAGAGACAAGCACTGAGTAAGTTCTTAAAGTAACAAGATATGCTGCAAGCATGTCTGAAACATTGGATCTTATAGTAGGACATAGGCTACACACAGTAAATTTATTAGTAGGAGAAAACAATTCTGCTGCATTTGACACTCTGGGTAATTCCCAGGAATGTCTTCTGTTTGGGCAACTGTCCTCTTCCCAAACCATCCTAATCAATTTAATTTACTGTGAGAATATTACAGCAAATGGTCACATCCAAACATTCTATTCTAGTTTATGCAGGTTCTTACCCTGCTGTTCAATAATGTAACTTAAGCAATGTAACTAAAAGCTGCCACCTATGGTTTATTCCCTCTTTGTTTCTCACCCTCTCAAGTGGGGAATGTTGTGTGAGGTAAGCTATTTTACCTTGGGGAGAGCTGAGTGGTTTTTAAACCATATAAGCTCGTATGTATTTATGTTTAAGATGGCAAAACAAAAAAAAGACATGTTGCTGTGTGAGGGGAAGGTGGTAAGGTTCTAGTTCCTGTGGGAGTTTGTTCCATAGTTCAAACCACACTGAGTGCTCTGAAGCAAAAAAATGGGAATTAAATGGGTGATTTTTGAATATATGATCTATGGCAAATTCAAAGTTACAGCTCCCCTGGAAACTGTAGCTCAGTCACATTGCACAATGTATACTAATGCACTAGAGTTAAGATCAGATAAAATTCTGTATGTATTCAATATGGGAAAGTTAAAACAGCTCTGGGATTCATAAACTCATCTTCCAACTTTGGTGCACATAAACCCACAACTACTGTATTGCATGGAAATTATTTTTTTTTCAAACTTGCAATAGAGCTGTCTGGCTATCTGAGAAATACCTGTTTCCAGCCTTACATGAACTACTGTACTAAATTCCACCCTTGGGACCAATTTATACATTAAGAAATGACTTGGCAGTTGCCACACCTAAAAAGGCGGTGTTTCTTTTGCCACAGTGACTCAGTGCTTACAGTAGACACTTGGGAATGAAGCATGTGCCTTTTTAAAAGCACTTCAGCACTCTTGTATCTGTAGTGGCAACAGTCCTAATAGTATCCGGTGCTGAGGACAGTGATGGGCCTGAGCTCCCCCCTCCTGTATAAAGGTTTGGCAAGAGACTAAGGCTGCACAACATGTCTCTCTCTCCACCAGGGATGTGGAATTCTGAGACCTCACAGAAGACAAAAACCCACCAATAAGGTCACCTGCTGCATAACAGCTCTTGGGGTATAAGCATTCATACAGGAATTGAAAAACCTGACTCGAAGTGTTTCATTAGCCCCAGGAGTTCATGCTCCAATCAATTCCATTGCAGGTCATTCCCTAGCCTTCAGGTTGGAGATAAAGCTTTGAAAGGGTCATTTTTCACATTCTTCTTGTACCACTACAGAGTAAGATTTAGGAAATTGTAAATAAACTAGTGGCAACCGAGTCTCTAGATAAATGAAGAAATGGAATCCTCTGGGGATGGGAGGGAGAGGCCGAGGCTGGTCAGGATCCTTGTCCTTCATTCTTCACTGCTTTTCTGCATTAATGCATTTTGCATTCAAGAATCATTGTACAAAGTATATAAACAGCACTAAGGACAGGGCCAAATATATTTTTAAAAATTCTAGCTGTCTCCTTGCCTAAATGAACATGTAGTTAATACATTCCCTGCACGTGTTAGCATGGAATATCACAAACTGTTCTGTTATGTATCTTTGCAATTTCCCCACTAAATCACCTAGACTGCTAGCGTATGCTCGTCATAAAAAATAAAACAGTTTTTCAACTATGCTATTTTTGAGATGTTATGAACCAAAGAGATAAGCAACAAATTCTGAAATTTAAATTTATATATATTTTTCATACTGTGCAATTTAAGATCTCTTTTGGGTTCCCCACAGCACCCTCCCTCCCACCCTTGCCCCTGACTTCCCCCACCGAAAAGGACTATCTGAAATTGGCTGAAAACTAGTTTACATTTTAGTTTTTTTATAATAAGGAAATAGCTTCTATTTTGGAAGCTAACTTCAAGTATTGTATGACTAAAAATAAATTAGTAACATGCAGAATGAAACTGATCCTGTTGAAGTCAGTGGAGTTTTGCTATTGACTTATAAGATGGGATTTTGCTCACAAGGTATGAATCATATACCTAAGAAAAATAATCTTATAAATTAATATAATTTATATTTTTGAAGTTATTACAAAGTTAGGGAGATTGGAATGTACAAACATTTAAACTATTTTTAATGCCAATAACGTTCTCTCTTATGTATTTGTACCATATTATTAGTAGAGATAACATGTAGGAATATGCCATCTGATCTATATTAAAGATAGGTATCCCATATGACCCAGCACAGCAGTGTAAATAACTGAGTGTGTTGCACATTTTACTTTGTTCCAGTTTTCTGTTGGGTTCACTTAGCTGCATGACATTAAGTTAAGGCCCTTCAACCTGCCAGCCAAGTGGCTCTCCTATTTGTTTCTGGAACTCAGGCAACATCACTTTACTTGTCTATGCATTATATTTCCCAGTCTGCTGGTTATTAACTTGGGACAATCGCTTGATGCACATCCAAACCCACAGAACATCTGTTAGAATTTACACTCTTCCAGTGTAATGAGCACATTTTCCTATAGCTGCACATACAGTGCTCATCCATACAGGCTATGATTTTGACCAAAATTACAGTGCTCCTCTGTGCCAAAAGCAATATATCAAATAAAAAAATTTTTGAATGTATACAAAATTTTGGGGTCAATTTTATTAACCAAAGGTTATGAATATAGCCATCTTCCCCTCTCCTACCTGCTGCTGTGGATACATGCCAGGTTGATGTCCTCCATATGGTGGCTGTCCTGAGGGAGGTCCTTGTCCTGGATACTGCTGCCCATATGGTTCATGCCTAAAATAAAGCATTCAAAGCAACACTTAGAGCTGTTGGAACTTCTAAGCCACCAGGAAAAGTAAAATACTCTGTTGATCTTGCACCTTGAAGGTATTCGCCATTCGGAAACAAAGTGAAGGTGTAGTATGGTATGATCCTGAGCTTGATGTAGTAAGCTCTGCTGGAGCTGGTAGTGGGAAAAAGGAGATAAAGTACAAGAAAGCAGGAGCAGTGAAGATGCAACAAGGAGGTTTAGAGGGAGCAGTCAGGTACGGGAACAAGTTAAGGTCAGCAAAGAGGTAAGAAAGGCAGCTGCAGCTGCTGAGAACCCATCTTCGGTGGAAAAGTATCTGATGTACAGCTCAAAGGCTGCAAGTAAAAATTCTTGTGTTGTAACATTTGTAACATGCCAGTCTACTAGCAAGCTACTTTCTGGATCATTCAAGAATATAATCAATAGTTGACTGCCAATTTAAAGTGAGTAAAAACAGTACTCATAATTTTGCTAATGTTCATGTCATTGTTAATTAAAGCTACATAATGAAGCATACACATAAGAGACAGAGTTGCATTGCACTTGGAAACTTACCTGTGGTCTTTAAGACCTCTGAGGAGCACTATAGTGTAACTGCAATATTTTTAGCACATCTGAATGAAATTTAGGTTGCTGAAATGAAGTACTTGGAAAGTATTAAGATTGATAAATAACACTGTATTGCAGGCCAATATGTCAGTAATTCCTCTCTGTACACTACCAGTGAGAACACATCTACAATTAGAGGATAATTATGGAAGTAATATATCAGGGAGAACCACAGAAACAGAGGACTGGGGAACCTGACATATTACAAGATCTAATGGAACCTAATTTTTCAAAAAGCATAGAAAACTCACTTTTTTTTTTGAGAGATGACCACAGTGAAAGCAATAGCAGTTCAGTATCTTCTAAAATTATGATGTGAATGGAGAGAAATTCTCTAATGCCAGTTAAAAGAACGATGTAAACTGAAGGGAGTTGCCTATAGCTGTCCAAGATGGTACAAACAATAAGCTAAAACTGAGCAAAGGTACACGTATGTTATACATAAGGGAACACTTTCTAAATGTTCAGTTTGTTAGCCACAGGATAACCACAAGCCAGGTGAACTTGTGGGAAGCTTCAGAAGTGGTGTCATTTAATGCTGCTCTGAAGAACCTGGGCCCATAAATTATATTCTAGTTCAGTGTTGGCAGGCAGATATACAAGGGAGGATGAACACTCCTTTTCTAACATCTCTGATTCTGTGACTACAGAAAGTCAACTGATTCACCCAAGGCTCTGTCGTCCCCCCCCAGAAACCGAACCAATGGTAAAAGCCTAAACAAGAACAGGCAAAACAGAAGTAACACACCAAGAGGCCACATATTCTGTCTATGTGCTCTCACAGAGGCTGCTAGCACTCACTAGCTGGTTATTGTGGGTATTACAAACAGAGAAATCAGTGTTCACCTTTGCTGGCCAGGGTAACGATTAGGAGAATACATGCTTGGGTCACTGTTTGAAGGCACCATGTTGCTTTGACCAGGTGGTGCCATACTGCCTTCAGGACCCAGCCCATGATCCGACCTAAAAATGACAAAGGAAACCTCATTCTGTAAAAAGCACTTATTCTCCAAAGTTGTCAACAAAATAAAACAAATCATGCCCCTTAAAGAAAACAGTCTCTTGACTTATCACCTTCCAGTGGAACCCTTACTGTCACTGACTCCCCAGCACTGTGACCTGTTGAACAATATGATTGTATCTGTTCTAGTTTACACATCTACTACTTGAAACTTCTGACCAAAAACTACTCTGCCACACTGCACCACTCTGTCTACCATCAGGAAACAAAAAGTGAAGCTAAAGTACACAGGCTAATGAAAGAAAAAGCAGGAATACAGCCAGAGCTGCAAAACCTACTAGAATACTTAATATAATCCAAGCATTCCCAGACCATTCTGTTTGCTAAACCAATGCTTAGACATCAGTGATTATACCGACTTTTTTTCCAAAGCCTTTCCGCAAATAAACAAAAGAGGACCAAATTTATTTTGTGTACTTCACTGAAAGACCAACTTATAAGGGCCCTGATGGACACGTTGCAAGACTGATGTCCCTGCAGCTCAGCCAACAGGCTCCAGACTCTTCAAAGGCAATTCACGAACAGACCACAAATCACACATGTTTAGACTGCGCATTCTGTTTTCATATAAAAAGCCAAACGGCAACTGTTTGGGTGAAAACACGGCCAGAAGACTAACTCAAGTGCTACTTTATGCCATCATAGCCCAGCCCCGCCCAGCTGCCAGCTGAAGGCAGCTGTCAAACACACCCACGAGCTGATCTGCTGCAACTTCAGTGACTTCTAAGGTGTGACAGTTCCTCTTTATTAATTTCTGTGAACAGCTAGACTCAGTCATCACCAGTGGTTTGACTCGCAGTGATTCAGTAAGATGCTGTAGGAAATGTAGGCTGCTATGTTCTCTGCAAGGTGCAATGAGAAAATGAGAAGGGGAGAGACGGGATCATTTTCACTAATGGGCTTTGCTTTTTCCTAAAGATTGACTCACCTCCTGTCATAGCCACTTCCATAAGTGAACTGCTGTCGCTGGCTCATGCTCATGTTGGACATTGCTCCAGATGGACTCTGGTTATACATATCTTGTATTCCACTGTTAGGCATTTGTCCAGGGGTCATGAAAGGCTCATTGCTTCCAGGCACTGTAACAGTAAGGGAAATTAAATTTATTATTCTGGGTGTTTGAAGATCTCTTTCTATTAAATGAAGTATTTTAAAAGAATGTTCAGATTCCTAACACTGCCAGGGAGAATTAGCTGGTGTCTGACAAGCTCTCCGGGGTCTGATGAGAACACAGGAAGCAGCACCACAACCAAGATGATAGGTATAATATTAAGGAGCTGAAAGTGAGGAAAGAAATCTCATCCTATGGAACTGAGCTGATCAGGCACCAGGCAGCTTCTTCCCTCTGGTCTTCATAGCTGAAGATGAACTTGCTCTTGTTCTTTTCACCCCAAACAATGCTAAATATGAATGCAAACATAAGCCTTACAAAACAGATGAAAGCAAATCTCCTAGTTTGAATTACAAAGCTGTCAGAATCAGGCATTTATCTCCCTCCATAAAACCCTCATATACATATATACAATAATTTAATTATGGAAGGGATACTGTATCCTAATGCTGCTTCTCAAGCAGGATGGGCATATTCTATGGGTTCAATAAAAGGCACACTGACTGTTAGTGGATATAAATCATCAAGCAAATAGAAGAGACTTTGGCCTTTAGTCCCTCATAGTAGATACCAAACAGAGGTATTTCTGTTTCGACAGGATAAAGTGAAATGTATGACAAAGTGCAATACACCCACTTAATCTCACATATATATAAAACCTGAAGTGAATCTAAGGCAGTGAGCGTTTTCCCTTCCTTCAGTGGTGTTCTATGTTAGTGTCCACAGTACAGGCAAAATGATTTAAAGGAAAGGCTTTAAAATAATCACATCAAATTAACAATCTCTTTTAAAGCATCTCCCCATTCCATCACATTGCTCTCTTTCCCCGATTTCTGGGCCTCTTCTTCCCATTCCTCCCTTTTGCTCCCTTTCAGTTTACACTTCATCTCCTCCACTTGCTCTTCTCTTTGCAGCCATTATGAACCCCGCTTGTGTTCTTTCCTCCCACTTTCCTATATATGAGGCATGCAAGATTGATTCATTTTAAGCACATTTTACAATATCCACAAAACCATCTGTAGATTAAGTGCCCAAAAGGACCAGAGTAAATTTTGACATTAATTTAAAATTTTGCTTTCTAAAAATAAACAAACTTTGAGTGTGTTTATGACCTTTTGTCAGGGACTGTCCAAATGAGAAAAAAATTAGTTTTACTATTCTGAAAAGTATGTAAACTGAGACAAAGAGCATTAGGAGACTTGCTCAGTCAGTTCCACACAGTAAATTCCCAGTTTGGTCCTAGTACAACCAGGCATGTTGCTTCACCACTTCACATTCTAACAGTGAAGTCCGGGATTTGATTTACAGAGTGGCTAACCAAGAAACACAAAATCTAATCCCATGAATTTATGCCACTTCCTAATGTATTCCTGCAAGCATTTTTAGGATTCTGTTAATTCCAAAATAAGCAGTATGACTGAGTGGGGAAAATACGACCAGACTAGAATGAAACACAATTGCACTGCACCTCTCTTTTTGCTACTAGGATACCAACAACAAAATCAGCAAAGTGAGAAAGCCCATTCTGACTAGAACATCGTGATTACACAGACGCAGGGAAGAAAACTTAAGCTCCCAACAAAGAAAATACCTTTTCTCATTCCACCGAAAGGATCTTTATTCGGCTCATATGGCATCCTTCCCATCATATCTGGCATATTTATTCCCTGCTGGTATGGTGCATTTGGCGTCATGGAGTTTCGCTTTGGGAACGCTGAATCACTTACATCAGAAAAGGGATCATGCACACTAACTGCGCTGTTTCTACCAGATGAGAAAAAGGAGGCATTAACATCATCATGTATTCATAAGAATTGTGAAAACAGACTGGACTACAATACAACTAGCCCATGATGCTGTGGCAGTGATCAGTGTAGGATATATCCAAGGAAGATCAAAAGACTTTCAGAGCAGACAATCATAAAAAAGAGTCTATCCACTTCTTCCCCTGGCTTCTTTGTCTACTTACCTTAGAGATCAGGGCTTTTCATCAAATCCACTGTTTGTGCACTTGTATTATTCATTTAAAAGTCTAAACCTTCCTGAAATTCCACTAAGCTGTTTTGCTGGCTTTTACATAGTGAAAGAAAACTCAATCTGAATAGAAGATGATTAAAAAAAGGTTCTTGCTATCCTTAGTATTAGAGATGGAGAAAAAAAGAACCTAAGTACACTAAGTTTGGAGTGGCCCTGTACACAGCCCAGAGCTCAGCTGTGTTCCTTTATGCTGAGAAGTCATATAGAACTTTTTTGCTGGACTTCAGTGGACTAAGGGTTGTTAAAGAATGGTAAGAAGGCTTCACTTCAGATTAAGTCGGTCTGTGTGACTTAAAGGACACAGAACTAAAAGGGATCTCTTGGTCCATCCAGTTGAATCCTCTATCTCATATTGTATATGCTTTCCATAATTTGAATTTCAGTAACACCTTAAACCAACACATTTCTCCTTCCTGAGCATGTCTGGACCTGTATACCACAGGAGTACAGGTTGTGGTTCTGTGTTGGTGCTGTTGGGTTTCACCTTCCTCTCCACGATTGACATTCACATACAGTCCTTTGCACTGGTGTGTGTCTGATGCTTCCCTGGTGTTTAGAAAGCTAATGCACCTCCTCTTTCCCTCTCTCCTCTCCAAAAATAACTAATTTTCTTCCACTTTTCAGTCTCTGACTGGTTCACCAAAGAATCAGTTGAGTGCCTAAGCAGCTGGGAAAGACTAGACTAAACTGCTGTAGAACTAGAGCCCAATAAAAAAATGAAGCAAAGTGCTTTTCATACCTGCCACCCTGCATAGGTGTCATCTGTCCATGAGGTGTGGATGCTGGTGTTGGGGGCTTCAAATCGCCTGGCACTTCTGTCATGGAATTACTACCAGTGGACTGTGGAGTCTGTGGGCCTTGCAAGGAACCAGAATTAGCTGGGAAATTAAAGAAAAAGGAAATATTAAAAGGTAGCAGCCAAATTCCTAGGGAAATAATAATCATCGAAGGAAACTGGTTCTTTCCTCCAGAAGCCTATGTATACCTTATTCCATCTCAGTACTTTATAAATTCCCCAAAATCCTCTGAGATCAGGGTATGCTGTGCAGTAATAGCCATCATCTTTCCTAGAACTATGAATTTAATCTGCTGCCTGAAGCAGCGTGAGTAGAAATCATCTAGATGAAGGATCATTTAAATCAGAGGTCAGAGATACAAAGTTAATTGTCTATAGTTTACAACAGAGTAAATGAAGGTTGTACTTTTGCACAGCTTCTTCATATAATCACTATCACAACACACATTTATAAGGCAAATTTCAGTCAGAAGCTTTTAATCACAAATTTAAGCTACTATATTAATATAAATTCATCATTTCATTTAGCACTAAAAAGCAGACATTTCCATGGTGAAAGATGGCCAATGATTAGTGGCACACTGATCCCTATGTCAACTTCAAGATAGCACAAGAAAAGCTTGTATTTCAGAAATGCGAAAGGCAATCTGAGATCACAAGAAAATGCTCACTGAAAGTACAATTTGAACAGGAGGCTATAGCTAACACTCCCAAGAGAACCACAAAAATAGCAATGGACACTAACAAAATGCAGTTAGGGTCAGTCATTGTAAAGCATACGTAACAAGATCAAGTCAATTCTGCAAAGCATTCTACTTAATCTGCAAAAACATATACGTTGAGATCTCGGACAGCAGTGGAGTATCTGCACTAGTGCCCCCTTTAACCACTGTAAATAGCCTGATATTCTCAATATGACAAGTGTAGAAAAGCATTTACTTTTGTATTCTGATGAGACTAAGCAGCAATAAGGGCATTAAATGTATACACCATATAAGCTACTGATAAAATACATCCAGACCAGTCTTTCACAGTAGATACTGAAGTTACTATTTTCATATGACTATTGAGGAGAAACAGCCCTCAACTTCAAAGATCTGATATAATAGTTTTATGATTTAGAAGGTAGTAAGTGGGGATTAGTAATGCCATCTAAGCTTTGGATCTCACTGGCCTTGCAGCAGAAATTCTACACAAGGAGAACTTGTAGGATTCAAGTCTTCAATTGGGAAAAAAATTAACAACAGAAAAAATTCACAAATCTAACAGACTCAGAAAGATGTGGATTTGGCTTGAGAGGTCCTTCTTTTTTATGAACTGTCATGTAAACATTTTATAGTGCCTGACTATATACATTCAACAACCAATTAACAAAACTTTATAAATTACTGTTAGAGGGAAAATTGCAACAAGCAGTATGGGCTTTTCTTCTGTATGTCAAAGAGAGAGTAGTTTATAATTGACTCAGAATCCTAGAACACTCATCATCTTGACAGGCAGAGCTTGTTTTTAACTGAAGAACACCTTTTTTATATGTGTTTCATTTATATCCATAACACATGTTCCCCTATCTGGAAATCAGTCTCAGTAGCAAGTACATATGTAAAATCCACATTGTGTAGACCACATTGTTCTTGTCCTCAGCTTTCTGAGGCATGTTTGGATTATGCTCACATAATAATGAGGTTCTAAAAAAAGTTTAAGAAAAGCTCTCTGATTGCATTAATACAGTAACATTTGCAACAATTAATGCTACAGTTAACTGAAGGCTTTAGTGCTATAATAAAATAAAATCCCTATGATAATAAAAACCCCTCATCATAGTCACAAAAAATCAGCCCTTTGTATATATGACCCCTGAGCGAGCCAGGATCATTCTCCCACCCTTGAGCTTCAAACACAATTCTAGATTCTTCTAGAAAACTTGAAAGCATTTCTGAGTTAACCCACACATTGTCACATACCATCTTGCTATATTAGAAACATATAAGTAAACATCTCAGTGTACCCATAGACTTGCTGTAAATTCTGATAGTGCCTAACCCTGCACATTCTCTTATGGTGGGTTATTAAGCAGCAATTAAGTTCTTCCCAACCCTACCTGAGCAAGAGCTTAATTCATATCTCAAGTAAACCTAAAGAAAACAAGTAAAAGATCTTTTTGGTATTCATGGGCTGCTGGAATGCAGAATCTTTATTATGAATAACAATGTGTTTTATATAATCTTATATAAAGAAAGGTTTAAAAGCAAAAAGAATATAACCAACCGAAAAGCTACATGTCAAATTTCTATCTTCTGGGTGGTGATTACAGGGTTGGTTATTTTTCCTCAGACTCTTTCTAAATGACTGGTTATAAAGAACTGAAAAAATGGAAGGCAAATGCTATCACAAGAAGTGCAAAGTCTCTGGTACTGCTTTGTTAATACATTTTGCCCTTGACCTCCATTGGGTCAAGTACACTTCTACAGAATTGGGACTGCAAGTGTTTCAATCTCTGGCTTAGGACATCATCTTCCAAGAAGAGCCTGTATTTCATATTTCACCATAAATTTTACATTTACTAAGCTGCACTCTGAAATTTTTGCATCTATATTCACACAGTTTTTATCATGTTAGAGGTTTAATTTTGATTGTGGACATCCTGAAATAGAAAATGTACTTCTTAAAGTGCTTCATAAGCTTCAGTATTAAACAAAGAACTAAGAAGGAAGACAAACAACAATGTTCTTTTAGGAAAGGTAATCTCTGCTTACATGATTCTGTAGCTATCTTGGGGTTGGTCCAGGAAAATCCCTGTATGTACACAGCTATTGAATTCCTCATCTCACATCCACATCTAAACAACACTTGTCTTTCAAGTATCATAACAGATTCCTGAGACTATATTTTTAACAATAGAAAATGCATAAAAAATTAAATACAATTGACATCTCGGTCAGTGAGAAGGTGAGGTCCTACAAACTCTTCCACAGTTCACTCAACAGCATGTATTATTCTGTGCAGCATGGAATTATAGTAGTGGTATGGCTTTTTCCTTGCAAAGCCTGCATGGCAGCTAATACTGCTTTCAGGAAAGACCCTGATTTACCAGAAAAGAAATATGCAGCTGAAAAAAGATATAAATCTTTCTCTTGCCAGCAACTTTTTTCCATTCAGAAAAAAAAAAAAAGAAAAGAAGAATGCAGCCTCTTGAAGCCCCATTAATATGAAGCCTGACATGCTCTCTAGGATATCCCTACCTTTTGCCAGAAGCTACAAATGTATACTCTAAAGTAAACAATAGAAAGGTTACCGAAGGTTAAGTACATTCACATACTTCAGAGTGAACAGCCAGACACCATGCTGGGTAGATAATTTACACAGCATGAACCCAGTGCCCCAGTTAGGCTGGGCTGGTGGCCGGTGGCTACTGCAGGGCTCCCCGGGCAGGCATGGATGCAGGCACAGGGGCACCTCTGCCTGTGTCCTCATCCACCCCTCCCAAGCCCTCCCCCATCATCAGTGGGGATTCCCTGGCTGGCCTCATGACACACTCCATGACATCACCTGCCTGCTAATAATAGCACTTCAGTCAGCCACCCGCCAGCAGAGATGGATGGGTTTGGTTACAGATGCACTCACTGAATGGCTGTGTGGTGCTGTGTCGTGTCCACCCCACCATCCCCCTCCCCAAGTCTTGTTTCTCTGCTGCCAAGGAAACGCAGGGAACACACTCTTAGCGCACTGTCGCTCCCTTTTCCAGCACAAGCGCACGATTTTTCCAGGTTTGCTGTAATGAAATCTCTACTGACATCAGGGCCAGCTGCTGAGTGTTACTTACAAGCATCCTCAGCTGTACCACTCTGGCTTTCCTGTTCATTCAGTATAGGATAAACTCTCAGATGGTAATTTTGAGAGTCTTGCATATACAATCTCACACTGCAGCTAAGAATTGAGAGTGTCAGAGTACAGCAATGGAAAAGAACTCCTTCATGCTGATGCTCTTCTGGAACTTGTTCTCCAGTTTCCTTTAGTGCTTAGTGTAATGGCCCCAGAGTTGTTCTCAGTTTAGAACTTGCCACATAATTTGTGCATAGTTTGGTCAAAACTATCAAACACATATGACAGAAAGAGCATTCTATCTTTGCATCCACTTCTGAAAAGCACTGGAGCAGTAGAAGGATGCTTATGAAGACCTATAATGCCTCTCTCTCTATAAAGGATTTTCTACACAGCAGAAAAGTCACCAATGGTTGACATGGACTTTTGGCACAGCCCCAACGACCAGGACTTAAGGCCAACAGGGGTCCCCTAATAGTTAGCCTGTCATTAGGCATCTGCTGCTGGTCTTCACCGCTGATGGCATTACCTGACCCAGACAGGCACTAAGGCCTCAGCCTACCACAAGCATGTTGCCAACTTGCACAACCTCAGAGCAATGCAAGGCACACCAAAACACATTCAGGCCCCCAGTTCTCCCCAGGAGCTTTATTAAAGAACAGAAGAGGCTCTGACAGTGATATGAAGCTGAACATTTATTAAAATGGGCACCTAGTCCTAACCCCAACACTCTGGTTACTGTGCAAATCTCTGCTGATTAAGGCCAACCAGCCTGTCACTTTGCTGTTCTACTCTCACTCCTTTTTTCAACTTCTTGTAAGTTCTGACACTATCATGAATTGCACTAGCACTAAATTATGTACTCCTTTATGTACTTTTCACCTTATTAATTAAGTTGTAAAAAACAGAAGTGATGGGACAATTCCAAATGTGCTACAAGCAAATGGACTAACACATAGCCTTAGACCACTGTCTTGCAGACCCATAAATTTGATGTACACATTGCATCCTTTCCTTGATTGTGTTCTTCTGTATCAATCTCCTCACCATGGTTTGTTGCAGTGTTTCCTAGCATTCCCTCTATGACTGCATTATAAAGATAATTCATGAGGCAGCCACATAACCACTCCTTGGATGTGAGACATCTGCAAGAACAGATTTGTTTTAAGCTGCACTTCAGCCTGCTCCCATCTCAAGTAACATCTACCTGGGAACTATGATGACATTGGAACTAAATTCTTCTCTGTACCAGAAAGGCTGCCAGTCCTGACATATTCTTATGAGCAACTGAAATACTTAATTTTGAAAGTTTTATGAAGATTAGTTGATTTTCAAGTTTGCAAGACTTGTTGCATAGCATCAGCTGGTTGGTATTGGACAAAATACAACACCCTCCACTCTGAGACAAGTCTGTCTGCTTTTCTATCAGAATTAACTTCAGTCATAATACTGTAACTAGTTCGCTGTGAATGGATTTGTCTTCAAAGTGGCTTTGCTTACATTGAGCTAACTGCACAAGAGAGGCTAATGGTCAAAGTAAGGACTTTTGGAAGCTACTGCTTCTTGTTGTATTGGGCTCCTGTTCCCTCTGAATGCCAAAGAGTAACAGATTATCTAAAGTACGTCTATAACTCTGCTTCTTTTGTGAAGTTAAAATGTTAATGTTGGTATATACTACAGGAAAAGGAACAAGAAAAAAGCTGACTATTAAAAAGAACAGGCTTGTACTCTCTGAGGCATCTATACCTCAGCAGGATTTCATGTACTAAAGCTGATACACACTGGGAAAGCCTTTCTCTGTATACAAGTGCAGTCCCATTCAGTGACACAAGCTCTTTTCTCTACAACAAAACAAACCTTGAGATCCTTGCTTGCTTCCCCCTCTTCTAGTCTCTATGTCCCGCTGTGTTTTTATTTTAGAAAAATAGTTTCAGTTCTCCTCATAGACAGCTTGCTTGGAAGTTATGATAAATTTAAATTTGGACTTTGCCATTTTCATCTGTAGCATCAAAATGCAAAAGGACCCTGTAAAAGTGGTACATCTGACATTTCTATTCCTTTGTTTCATGTTTACATATTTAAATAATGATTCTTCATCTCAAAATTCAGCCAATTTACGGTGATCATCCCCAAATCAACTACTGAGACCAGTGTTAGAGGAGGAGTGTAAGGGAGGAGAAAGCAAAGCAAAATACTCTTTCATTTTTAGAAACAGATTAATTTTCACCTCAGTGTCCTTAACAAGTCTAACAGTTTCAGCTTCCCTTACCAGTCTTCTCAGAAGGTGATGGGTACCTCCAACATATTTTATTTTTTCAGCTGTGCACATTCAGGACATTCTGCTCATTTCAGACAGATAAACATTTGGACTATGGGCTTCACTTGCACTACCAAATGTTTTTCTCCATCTTCTAAGCTGGCACTGCAAAGTAACCTAGTCATCCTCTCTATTAAGCAATCACCCCTGGTGTACCTAATAACCCTAGATTTTAATAATGTGAAGGAAATGTTTAAGTCATTACACAGAGATGTACTTAGGAAGATTCTAACTAAATACTCCCCCAAATCCTTACACTGAATAAATCAGTCTGAGAAAGGTTTAAGCCTTATCACTGTTAGCTTTTCTGTACTGACAAAGCTCTATTGTAAGAAATGCTCTTGGAAAGGCCAGAACTTTATTATATGATTATAAAGGTCTTTGCAATTTTCTAGTATCCACAACAGGGTACTGGAGTCATGCAGTTGCAAACTGTCTGCAGAGGTTGCTGGGTCCCCGACTCTCCACTTCCCATTTTCAGCCAGTGAACTGCACTAACAGAAATTGAGTGAATACTTTTCTAAAACTGCCTTCTAATGCAGGAAACTGCTGTAAACACTCCAGGAATTATATTCTCTTGGCAATAACAGATGCTGGTCTGCCTAGTAGTAATTGTGACAGTAGTTCACAGATTTTGTCGAATTATTTTGTTGGTCAGAAAAGCTAATAAGCAAAGGAATAACCCAAAATAATCAAACAAAACTTTTCCTCTTCCATGGGTAGTCCAGAAGTCAACATCACAGACTAATACTATGTTTCTACTCAAGGACTGTCCTGCCTTGAATATCAACCATGATTATCTAATCCTGAGAATCTTAAGTTAAATGAATTTAGAAAGAAAACAGTGGTTCCAAACATCACACCATACATGAAAAAAGAACAGCTAAAGTAAAGTAATTCCGGTTCCAATTTTTCAAATGAGAAGATAAAGACAGTGATGTTAACGACTTATCTGACACACAGGATTAGCAACAAAAGAATAGAGAGCGTGCCTCCAAACTATGATGTTTGGCAGTGGGGATGCACCATACTCTCAGCTCTCCATCTGCCACACATTCGACATGAGCTGTATCAGAGCAACCATCTGAGACTCACTGTTCAGTCCAGCATCTGCCATCCTGACTCCAACTGAAGCCTTACTGACCAACAGTTGTGTTGAAAATGCAGCTTCAGATTCACAGCAAGGAAAGTGTAAGTACCAGAGTCTTATCTTTAGACAAATGGATGCTCCTTTAAGGCTGCTTCCTGTTCTACGGTGCAAGCACATCCATGCAGAACACTGTTCTTTTTATTATGCCAACATAACTCTGAACATTATGGGTACAATGTCTTTGTATGTTGGAGTGAGCAAGGACAAACCAGACACATGACTGCAGATGGCCCTTCAGAGTTAAATCTGACTTGACTCAGGTCCAAGTTTGAGAACAAGATGGTAGCAACAGATTTATCGTCGTCGTTTGTCCAGCATTAGTAAGACATGCTTCTAAATATATAAAGTGTAACCTAGTATCTTTTGCATTCAAAAAGTGGTTGTGTAAGAGGCTGCAGTTCATTTGACTTACCAGGAGATGGCGGCTGAATCTTAGGTTGTTTCTTGGTATCTCCAGTGCTGAAGACTTCTGGAGGGGGCTCCTCCCCTCGCTCAATCTTGCACTCGAAGGCAAACAGGTACTGAATGTATTGTTTTTTCAGGGAGCTGGCTGCGCTGCTCGAAGTGCCAACGTTCAAGGTGGTTGCCAGCTCACGCCACTTCTTGTTTTTATTAACCTAGCAAAGTAAACAGTAGAATCATTGGTTTGCAGCAAAGTGTTTTGCTTAAGTCGGGAAACTAAAAAGGAAAAAAAAAAGCACTTAATGTCCTGGTTTACTTTTTTTTATTTTCCTCTTTTAACTAATGCTCATTACTCCCACACGCAGTAATGCACAGACAGCATTTACAGTTATAAAACCATTAAGGAACCTGCTGATAGCTACATAAAAAGCTTTGCTTGTGGAGTCTTCTGCATGGTGCATCCTTTAAATGTCTAACACTCTTCCAGGGTCTATGCTCTTCAGTTTAGCAATCCATTTCCAAGCAAGTTCCTGCTCATTCTCTCCCTCTCTGACACCCACCCACACCCACTCATTTCTAATTAAAAAGCAGCTTCTAAAAACTAATTTAGAAAGCAGTAACAGTGTTACTCTGCAATTTAAGTGTTTGAGCATTAATACGAAAAATAAATTTTTCTCCCAAATAGCCACCAACTGTCAAACAGTTCAGCTTGTAATTCCTGGTTCAAGTCCTTTCACTTTAGTCTGTCTTGCAGGGACAGATCGATGATCCTCCGGCTAGATGAGAAGCATAGTGAAGCCAGGCCCCTAATTAATTAAGGCAGACTTCAAACACACATGGCTAGTCCAGCAATACGCTGTATTACAATGCTGCCTACACAATTCCACTGTGAGTCTTGTTTGCAGTGTAAGGCTGAGAATATTGAAAGACTCCGCTCATGAGTTCCTCAAACACAGCTGATCTGTAATAACAGCAAAGTTCATTTGTCATCCTGGATGATGCCGCTGGCTCACTCAGCTGTACCACTCATAGCAGCCAGTGTTTTTTCTGTAATACCTGATGCCCCCAAGTTCATTCAACCAGTTATGCAATTCCTAGGTATGATCCAAGAAGAGGGGTCAGCACCAAAATAAATAGGCTTTAAACATCCCAGATTTTGTTGAGGAACAATCCTGATTCCATGATGTCTGCTACTTGCCCTGAGGCCTGAGATTTTAATGACTCTAATTTAACTTGTATAGCTAGAAAGGTTATCATTATCCATACTGTTCCTTAGTCTATGTGACAGCAAAGGAAACATTTTTTATGTTTCTCTGTAACACCGTAACTGCTGCCAGTCAGCAAAGATTTTTCGAGGATGGCATTAATAGCAAACAGGTTGGGATGGCTAAGTGTTTTTATTTCTCTGGTACATCCTGAAAGAACTCAAGAGTTAAAGAACACCAGATTTTCATAAACTGCTCCTGTTGAGGCTTGAAATTCAGTTACACAGCTCTTTGTTCCTACTGGCTTACAGCTAAGTGGTGCGTAATGAACACATTGCATAATGCAAACAGAAACCTTCATGTCTAAATGCCCAGTATATTGGCATTTAAAAGAAGACTGCCAACAGCTGGTCTGTTCACGTTTGGACCCCATCAACTGCAACCATTCAGACAGAGAATATGCACCACTGCTGCACAGCTTAACACTCTGTCACTCTCCAGGCAGAATCATGAGATGTGGAGTGCAGCAGTTGGAGCAACAGCTTTTTAGGAGGGCATCACACAGATGTATTTAAATAAAACTCGGCAAGCAAAGCTCTGCACCTCTCAGTAACTCTAAACAGATAAACATAGCGAACATTCATGTGGGCACACCAGCAAAACCAGGAACCTTTATTCTAACTGTAAATTTTTAGCAGTACCGAAGCACATGCATTTGTAACTCAAGCTCTTTCAAAAATCAGTCTAAGTGAACAGTATCTATTCTTTGGCAAAGTATAATGTCTGTCGGTGAAAACCAACACTGAATGTCCCAAAATAAAGTAAACTTCCATAATAAGAAAAGATGAATGACTATCTAGAATATCTCATCTGCCCCTCATCTTGCTCAATTTTTGATGCTAAGAATCATACTATGGGCATAATCATGCTGTATGATGCAGAGCAGCTGCATGACACGATTTACCTGTAATAAAGTTTCTGATCAAAAAGTAATCAAATCTGTATGATGCTGGGGGGCATGACCAGATCACTAAAGATGTCAGAATAGTATCTCTTACCCATATACAGCATTTAAGAATGGGCAAGGTGAATTATATTAGGTTTCTTTGCATTTCTTTAATAACAGGAATAGCTAAAATCCCTGGATTTGAAGGGCCAAGGATCTAATTCAGTAGTCAAATCCTATGTTGTGAGGTGTACTTTTAAAAATAGCTTTGAAAATGGTACTAATTGATGTTGGACATTCCTTTCTTGAACTAACCACACAGATTATTAAAATGCATTCTTTCTGAAGATCTAATTTGCTTGCCATGTTTTTGAGTTAATAGTTTGTAATTAGTGTAAAATTGTATTACATGTTTTATATTAAATATTGCACAGATATATTTATCTACACAGCCATATGTAAGACCTCATTTTGCAAGGCATTAAACATCCACAAATGTCCCTAAATCCACAGAAATTATGGATCTCTGCACTTCACAGTAGTTTCTAGCACCTAGCCAGAATGATCCCCCAGATGCAAGGGATACTTTGTAAAAGCATCAGGCAAGGACAGGAGACTTTGAATGTTGAATCTAAGACTTCAAATACTGACTGTTTTCTCCTGCTTTCCCTTTTGATGGTGCTAGACAATTAAACATTTCATTTTGCTCTGTGGTGGTCAGTCCTATTGAACTCATGAGTAATTTCCAAACATCCCTTTGCAAAACTTCTAGTTAACTGGTGAGAACACAAACCAAAGCTTCTCCCTCCCATCTGTGACAATTTTTATTCTCAGCTCTTCCTGCTTTCATTTTCCTTCTACTCATTTAAGTAATTTACCTTTTCCTTGTAATCATTATGTTTGCAAGGCTACCCAAAATATCCTGTAAGCATTTTCTCAACACAGGCAAAGCACAGTCTGTGTCTAAGAAACAAATGTACTACATACAGACACTCAGAGATGAAAGGTTTAGAATGAAGGACTGTAGTTTAGGAATATATCTGCAGCTTCTCTGGAGAGATGAACTGATTTGTCCTAGAGGCTGTATCACTATCTGAGAAAGATGGATTTAAAAATCTCCTTTCCTTTTAGCTCTATCATCTGCTTCTTACTCATAACTTTGATTCAGTGGCCTTTTCTTTTTTCTTCTCTTAGTAGCATTACTAGATTCCCCTGAACAGGCAACAATTTAATCTCTCTATAGCAATGGTCAGTCTTGATTCAAACTCTGAAATTTTAGGGCCATTATACAGCCCAAAATGAACTCCAGACAGATATTAAAGCATGAAACTATTTTCTTCAACAACACTGTCAGGGCTGAAAACATAATGGTGTAACCAGCAGGAAATACTCTAGAAAAAAAACGTGCATTGCCTTTTCAAAAGGTTCATTTTCAAGCACTACTTCTTACCTGTGCTAAACCTCCAATCTCTTTGACGCAGACATAGAGCCTGAACAAGTCCAAAGGCTTCTTTCCAACAGCTGGCAGACTGGCCACAGGCGTGCCCCTCTCTTCCATGAATGTCAGGTACCGATCCACCCACATCTTTCGCTCCGGCTCATTTCCTAGCTCATAGACTTTAGTGATCTTCTCACCAGTTGTGGTAGAGGAACTTGATTTCTAAATCACAAGAAGAAAAGAAAGAGTTGGGGGAAGGGTGGGAGGGGAAGGGAAGAGAAAGTAAGAAACTCACAACATTGAAAAAGAGAAGATGTCAAACAAACTAAAGCTATCACACAACAGTCAGGAATGAAGGCTACTAGTTCAGGCACAAACAGTACATTCTGTTCATATACGGAAAAGTACCTTTCTAAATAAAGGGCCCAAACTCCCCATTTTCATATTTCTTTCAGTGATCTGAACTTTGGATCCCAGAAGGCAAGTTTCTGATGTTGCCTCATGTCATTTTAAGCTCTCACACAGTGCTTCTCATGCACTTACCTCAAAGTGCTTTGCAAGCAACCATTTTGGTAAAATTAAAAACAAGTTTGTCCTATACAAGTTTAGAAAATCCTAAAAATGAATAAAACCAATCCTCTCTTCTTTGCCCTCAAAGGGGGCTAGAAAACTTGAAAGTGATTTCTCCAGAGCAGGAATTACACAAAAATAGTCTAAAGTGTGAATCATGGCAAAGCAGCACAGGGAGGACTAGTACTCTCTTCAGAGTCACAAATGGTTACAAATGGTTACTTTATTACTTTTTCACATTGCTGCTGGCCAATAAGCAAGATGAGCAAGGGTGCCTACAGGAGCCTACAAGGAGATTGGTGGCAATACTCTTTGTGAACTGTCAATTACCTGCCAGATCCAATTAGGCTTAGGAGTAGCTACTACTCTCCTCCCCTGACAGAGGACAGAAGATACCCATCTCACCTGTCCTACCTTGCAAAGAGAATGTGTGCAGAAAACCAAGGATGGGCAGCAACTAGAGCTGAACCACTACCAGGAAAAGCAAAAGAGCTGGTAAGAGCAGAATTCTGTCTCCGTGGCAGAAAGGCAGCAGTGAACCTGTTTTCCCGCTGCTCTTTGGGCTTTACAGCTAATGAAAGCTCATATTATGTTTCATCCCCCCCACCTTTTTTTTTTTTTTTAACTGTGGAGACAGGAGAAAGCACAGAGGCTGCTACAGAAGCTATAAATTCTCACCCTTTTTTTCTGTGCAATATAACCCTGTGAGCTAGGCTCTATGCCATGTGTGGACAGGCCTTGTTGCACTCTCTACTTGAGCTGCTTCTGATCTGACAGCAGAGAGGGGCTGCTGCCGCAGGAAGACCCTCCCACTTGCAAAAGGTGAAGTGATTTGCTCAGCTGTGGAAGATGGGAATGGTTCAGAATCAAACACAAGGGAAAAAGACTGACATACAGCCTTGGGAAATGATCCAAATATGTGAAGGGAAACATATCCTTTATGTCTGTATAGTAAAATGCTAAACTTTGTTGTTGATTGCAGTAGACACTTCTTTAAACTCATCTAGTCAATCACTCTTTCCCTCCTTTGCCTTTTCCTTACTTTGAACAGAAGACAGCACGATTCTCAAGCAAACAGAAACTCATTCTTAGTTGAACATCTCTAAAGAAGACCCTAGCCATACCTCACAGATGCTACAGAAGCACCCACTTCGCCCATGCCCCCACACAGCAGTGGTGAGGCCTGGCAGTAAATGCCAGGAAGGAAGGATTCAGTGGGGTAGAACCCCACTGCCAGTGATTTTAAAAGCATTCCCACCATTCATCGTGCATCTTAGCCTGGAAAATATAACGGTCTCTGTATCTCCTCCCAGCCGTCAGCTGAAACTTGGCAACGTTGGAAGAGAGTCAGGAGAAAAGAAACATGAAGCCAAGGGGGGTGACCTAGTAGTTCCATGAGCCATTGCTGTTCTTTCCAGTGAATGGATATTCATTTTAATTAAATAAATAGCCTCCTGTAAAGTTTTCTGCCTTCCTGACACTGAAACTTCTTCCCAGCAGTCCTTCCTACAGATAGATATGATTACCCTTCTTACTTAGAAATGAGGTGCTCTCCTGAATTTACTTGAGCCAGACTCAGCTGCATTACAACTCCTACTGAAGTCAGAGTCAAGGCTGAATTTGTTTTACTAAGTGGCTGGCAGGAAAGTACTTTGACATGAATCCTGCAGATTATGCAAAGAAAGCACAAACTGATTCTGTAATGGCAACCAGTTTACTCAAGAGCATCGCTTGCTATGTATCTGGGTGTTTAAGAAAATCAGTTTAACTCTTTGCAACAAATATACTATGTCAAAGTTTGGGTTGTTGTTTTGTTTTTTTGGGGGGTGGGTGGAAAGAGGGAAGCAGGCAAGTCATGTTGCTACTAATTTGTTTTCGCAGTGAGAACAGATATGTGATCACACAGGCTTGAATAGCTGAATGAATTGGAGCTACCCCACTACCAACTGCAGTAAGTATGAAGTTACTCTACTACTCATCGGTATTAATTTTAATCTGACACTTAAGATCTCCCAGAACTGTAACAAAAATGAAGGTGGGAAATTTCAACTTTCACCCAGAAAATTTTCTATGTGCTTATATTCTAACATATGAAGCAACAGAATAGTTTCTATTTCTCTTTTATCGTAATTCATGGTTAAGAAACCTCAGATTTACCAATTTTAGGATTTCATTTTTGTATGTTAAGATTCATTTTTCAAATCCAATTCAGAGCAGAAGGGAAAGAGTTAAGAATTTTTCATTCTGCGTTTTTCTACTATATATCTCAAATGATGCTGCTTTTCAGCAGTGTGGCAGCAGGCTCTAAAATGACAGTATAATCTGAAAACTTTTCACAGCTTACAGAAGGTAAGAAGTGTTTCTTACTGTGTGAGCTTTCAGGTTGTCATGCTTTGTAAAATGGGTGCAATTTTCTTCTAAAATGAAATGTTAACTGTAGAAGAATGCACTGGAAGGAAGAATGCTATTCCTCAAGAGTAAAGATCTTTTTCTCTTCTCTATTTTTATAAATGTAAATGTATAAAAATGACAGGTGTGTGCAAGCTAGTCTACACACAAACAAACTTCAGTTTCACACGGGCAGGTTCATCTGGAAGCCCAAATTTGCCTATAGGTAAATATTAACCATCAGAAAACAAGGGTTTATAAGAGAATGATCCCATTGTTAACCAAAATGAGCACATGTCAGGCAATGCTGGAAGAATACAGATCATGAGCCTTTCTTCTGTTAAGTTTGTTGATCATTTTGGTGATAAAAGAATGTTATTCCAAGCCTGTGGCACATACCTTTATTGATTTAGTTGTATCCTACTCTGCCCTCAGTCCTCAGCACTCTTCCACACGGTATGTCTGGCCATGTTTAAATGGGTGATTAAAAACACTCCACCAAAGTATGTGGATACCAAAGCCAATTCCCATACTAAGTCTGCTGAACCCTATATTAAAACCCCCTATTAAAACTGTATTATATACAGACCCTTGTATGGTGAGTCTGCAGAATCCTTCAGAGCAACACAAATTTCTGTAGGAGTTCTTTTCACATGAAAGGCAGTGGATAGTTTTTTCTGTACATATCTTTAAGCATCTATATTTATAGAACTATCTACCATTCACTTCTCCCACTTCAATGAAGAATTTGCCAATTTACTACTCTTTTACTACAGAACAGAGTGTGCATACACAGGCAGCAAAAACTGCCGAAGTCCAGTCTCTGGCAGAGGCTTTTGCAGGACACAATCCTCTATCAAGATTTTCTCCTGAAGGACTCAGCAGACCCCTCACAGATAGCACCATGGAGATGTAGTACTATTCAGGTGTACTCACTGTCATGTTCATGAGTACCTATGGACACTGAACAGCATTTTATGTGGTTTTCATAACCTACTGTTTTATTCATGTTGCAGTGACCCTGCACAGTTCACACCCATGCTTGGAATGTCTCTTTTAAAAAATTTTAAAACTACCTCACTGCTGTCAGAGATGCACATTACATGCAAAATTTGCATGGCAGAAGTGTTCTTTTACTGATGTACCCAAAGAGGCCTCAAAACATAATGTTTAACAATTCCTTCTTCCCATTTTCATATGCCTCTCTTCCACACAAAACAGCTGAAAGAGAGGATCCACTTAGTAGGATCACAGGGATATCCTGAAGTGAATCAGACTATTCACCCTTGCTTTTATCCTTTGCTGGAATGGAGAAGTTGTAGCACATGAAGCAGCTTTGGGATTTAATGAACCAATTCAGGCTGTTTTCAAGTGTAACGAAACGCCTGCAATCAATCATTCCACTCTATGTCAGGCTGCTGTTGATGTCGATGAAGTTATCCAATCCACTGGCCATCACAGGTAGAAAGGGACCAGCTCACTTACACCACTTATTTTTCTATCCTTCCAAAGTACCGTATGTATCCACATCTGTGTACTAAGAAGCTAACTGAAGCTTTTGGACAGAAGGACAGTCAGAAGAAATTGAAAGCATAAACTTTCCTCATTTATTTTTTCCAATGCTATACTTTGGCATATTTACATGGAAAAGTCTTCACATATGTTCATGATGGCTGTAGGATTTGCTACACAGTTTATGCAATGAGCTCAGGAATGCGTTGTTGTTTGGTACCCTTGTAGAGGAAGCACTCAATGTGTTAGACAGCCTGCGCAGTAACTCTCGTTTTCCTCCAGAAAACTGCCCAAACAAGCAATACCCAAAGTATTCTTTGCTACAAAGAAAGCTAACAGAATTTTTGGTATCATGCTTTCAGAAATGCTGTGAAGAAAAAGATGAGACTTTGTGGGAATAAGTAACATCAGCTGCCTTCTGAGACTCAAAGTTGCTGTCAAATAAATATCCAAAGATTGAAGTGGTGCATTTCATGCCATGCTGCCCCTTTGTTCAGGGGATTCACTAGATGCCTGATTTTTGAATGGGTAGATCTTTCCCCTCCGATTGGCCTTCCTCTGTTTGCCCTGAGACATACACTTCAATGTATCACTTTGTAAAAATTTAGTTGTTTATCACTAACATTGGAGAAAACACCCTTTATACAAGAATACGTTTCAGTATTTTACTACAATCGTTCCTACTTTTGATAAAAAGAAATAAGAGAGGAACGACATATATATTTCTAATTAAAAACAAAACAAAACAAAACAAAAATGATCAAGTGGACATTTGCTCCCCAGAGGCCGTATCAGCTTATGTCTTCATTCTCTTTTCTATATATGTATATAGATTTTCCATGTGTATATCTATAGATAGATAGATGATGAAATTCAGTTTTAGCTCCACACGTCTCTCTCAGGTTTTTCTTTAACACCTGTATGAGAATGATTAAACATTATTCATCTAAAAAATAGTTTTCTAAAAATGTACATGCATCAGGGGCTTTTTTCTACTCACAATCTGGGTTATTTCAAAATAACCCAATGAAGCAAATTAGAAACATTTTTGGTTTAGACTGTGCCCTGATAGCCTAATGGCTGTATTTCCAGATACACAATTCAAAAATAAAAATGTTTCAAAAACATAAATGGCAGCTTTTTCGTGGTGCTGAGTCTATAATTTGACTTAGTTTCAATAGGGGAGAAGATTTCTCATTTTGTTTTGTTTTGTTTGGTTTTCTTTCCCTAAATAATCATAATAAAGACAAGTGTAGCAACCAGAGTGAAGTCAGTTGTGTGAAGGAGTTTGGGCCCAGGAACAGAAATGGAATTGTCCTTAACAACACAGTCGGCATGCTTGGAAGCTGATGCATTATAGGAAGGACGTTTTCTTCACAACAACTGCTGTTTTACCAGACAGCACACTTGCATGATGCACGCAATTTTATTCTTTCTTATTTCAAAGTACTGTTGGGACAAATTTTGCCCTTGGATAAGCATGCTCAGGCCCCACTGAAGCCAGGCAGTGGAACTTACAGTCATGTGTCCGAGAGCAGAATTTGTACCCAGTCTTACAGAGAAAGAAAACTGTTTAGTGGATAAATAATGAAGAAAAGGAATTTACAAAACAAACAAGCAAGCATTAAAATATAATTAATTACAAAAAAATAAACAAAAACCAAAAAAACCAGAGCCACTTACAGGGCTTGATGGAGTCTTTGGCCAGCCTGGGCTGCTAATGCTATCACTTTCATCTCCATGAAATGAGGAGATGCTAGCAGAGCTTGGGGACATTGGGGAAGGGACTGGCAGGTTGCCTGGGGTTGGGGGCTGAGAAATACCCTGAGAGCTGTAGCTATCCTGTGGTAGAGGAATAAAAAAAAATAATATGACAAAGGCAGGGCAAACTTTATTAAAAACAAAGAAAATACATCCATTTTAACAGACTGACCAATTTTTATATATAAAATATATATAAACAGAGAGACACATACAGAAAACACACACATATATAAATATATTTATATATATATAAAAGGTATTAAAACAACATTGTTAATTAGTATAATTTGGAAAGTTTGCTTGATGCTTGGCTAAAGTCACTAAGCCACCATGCTTACTTCAAGCTCACATGAAATGCTAAGCATGGGTTTCCCATTATGAAAGAAAGAAAAAAACAAGCTGTTCACCTTATTTTATCAAATAAGGCAGGAAAGCAAAATATTAAAGTATGTTGCTGCTGCTGAGGCGGCCAAAACAGGAAGCTATAACTGAAGGCAGAGAAAAATGGCTGCAAGGATTAAAACCAGGCAAGACCCTTCTTTCCCACCCACCTGGCACAGCTGAACACCCCCGCAACTTTTGGCTTGGGATGCTTTGCCCCCACAAGTTAAAATGCCATAAGAACTAGTAACTTTCAGATCCACACAATGAAGGAAAAAAGAAAAAAAAATAAAGAAACAAAGAGATTGCACGTGAATGGAAAGGCATGCAGGAAAGAACAGAAGTGGGTAGGCCAAAACCAGAAGATGAAGGACAACACAGCAGACTTCTGCAGGCAGAACCAACACCACGTGCGGAGGTGGTAAATACCTTTGACTTGCTCTCGGGTTGGGGTGGTCCTTCTTCTTTGCCATCTGCTTTGAGAGGAAGGGGTAGTTTGGACTCACCAGGTGTCATCATATCTGCAAGACCCATAGGTGCTAATCGAAAACAGGAGAAACAGTTAAGCATGACTGTGTTTGGCTTTGCAGGAAAAAACACGCTTCCTTGCTGCAAGACTGTGGTGCCATGTGAAGGAGAGGTTGTCCCACCTCTGTCCTGTTATTCTAGCCTCTGGAAACCTGGAAACCTCTTCAGTTGAATTGAGGAAATAAAAGAGAACGAACAGGAGAGAATACAAACACCATGCAACAACAACCACCACCACTTTACAGAGCAAAATTCATTCTTTGTGCTGCTGGTACTCTTCAACTGTCTCTGCATTTGACCACAACATTTTAACAGAAAAACAACGTATTTTAATTACTGCACTCTCCCTTTAGCAACAGACAAACATAAATGAAAACAATACACATTTTGCTTGCCGTGTTGAATCCAAAAAAAAGGCTGAATTTTCCAATTACGTCTGTATTAAGGTTGGTGTCCAGCAGATAATTCCTGCCCCTACTGACTTCGATATGAATGGTTCAGCCTCTGTGACCCTTAGCTACAGAATTACAAGCTGTAAACCGTGCTCTGTTGGAGAACTTAGCACTCAACTTCCTCCCTCCTGCCAAAATGAGGTGGGACTATAATGAATGCACAAATGTCTTTCTCTGATAATGGCATGCAGTTGCTTCCCAGGAGTGCGAGGAGTTTAAGGGTTTTTTATTTGAAGATGCAAGTGCTAAGTATAGTATTACTGCTGCGGAGCTGCTGGGTTCCTGGATTTCTAGAAAGATGCAAGAAGAAACATCCAGATAAACAGACAGAAAATACAGGGCAGAGGAGATGCTAGGAGGTGCCATAACACTGAATCAATGCAAATAACCAGAGAACAGCAGCAAGACACCAGGTGATTCTTTTCCTGCTGAAAACCATGTGGACAGCATTTGTGAAAGACTGGATTGCCTTTCCTTTCTCTCCTTTTTTAATCTCCCTCATGTCCTTCTTTCAAAGAAGGATATGGGATGATAAAAACACAGAATAACCTACAAGACAATAAAAAGGAAAAAATACATACCCCAAATCTAAACATTATCATCATTGTCATTACCAGACTAGCATGCCTCTCCTAAAATGATAGTGCTGGCTTGCACTAGGCAGCAGGCACACTGCATAGCAAGCCAAAGATAGGAGGGGGAAAAGAAGCTTTAAAAATACTTCACAGATTGCCCAATACAAAATGATTATTCCACATATTCATGTATTACTATGTTTTAGAAAATAATTAGTTTTAATTACAGCAGTGAGAGCATGAGCAGGACTCTAGCGAATACTCTGGCAAGCTTTGCAGTGCTAATTTGCTAATATCTTTAGCATCACTGCAGGTTGAAACTCTCGGTCTGCCAAAAAAACCTACCCAGCCATGTGCCATGTGAGTTTACAACTGTATGCTCAATATTCAGCTTTGAACTGCCGGTGTTTTTCATGGGCACATTTTCTTGTTTTTTCAAAGCACATTTGTAGCCCAATCAAGCCCTTAAAGTCATCACAACACACAAATCATAATTGAGATTTAAAAAAAAAATTACTTGCAATACTTCAGACTTCAAGAATTGGAACAAAAAGCCTTTTACAAGTGATGCAGCTGCAGAGAAAAATCTATTTGGATCAGCTAAAAATGCTGTTATTTTTATGTATGTGTGTGAAATCTCAACAAAACATCCAGTCAATATGCCACTGGGAAGTCAGCATCCACTAAGCATTTGATTTGTATGCATTTTGCCCTTATACTCTGTTTGCAGAGTTGGGGCAGCTTGTGACCATTCTCAAGTGAAGAATGGCAGTCTAGCACATTTTAGTTTTCAATTCCACAATTAAAAAAGTTATTTTTCTTTTAGAGATTTTTAAAAAAATATGTATAAAATGGTCAAATATATGCCATGGTCTCGTTTCAAACTGGGATGCAGAACTGTTAAACAAAATCCATTTTATCAGTTGGCATATTTCAAGCGTGAAAGTGCTATAAAAGAAGTCTTAGTTTTAGTTTCAAAGCAACCAAAGATGGCCCTTCCCCTCTAAAGCCATTTTAGAGAGGTCAAAAAAAGTGACGTTAACAATCACGCTTCTTCACCAGAATTCTGCATGTCTAAATCCTCTGCTGATACCTCACTGTTATCTAGGTTGGCACACTGTATTTCTATTGCAAAGAATTTAAAAATTGTGTCCACTCCTGGTTAGTTTTCTTTCCATCAGAACTCCCTTATGAATCTCTTTTCCAGAGGGGTTTAAGTTAACACTTCACGTAAAAGGGCTGGGTAATCTCCAGTCTGGAGATTACCACATATATTCTGACTGTATTAATCATGTTCAGAAATGTAAAAATATAGGCTCATTTTGGCTTTTGAATATTGCTTGCTGGTATATGCAAAGACAACTATCAGGAATTAGAGACAATTATTAAAAAAAGGAAAGTTTCCCAAATTCTGTTTAATTTTTTGTTCTAAATTATTTACTTCATCTACATTCTTTCTTTCTACCTCAAAGAGGAGAACTGCAAGCATTTTACTAGCAAACTGCAAGGCTGTCTAGTTTCCCTATAGCTTTTACCTAAGATGTTTCCACAGCTACTTTTCTATCTGCTGTTGAAATGCTGTTTCGTAACTTCTTGCAAACATACTCTCCAGCGATTTGTGAGCAGACATTCTTTCACTTTTTTTTAGCTAAGCGGTACAGCGAGAACATTGTTTTGACCCTTTCTGAGCAGTGAAATACTGTTATTGTCACGAAACTGCTAAAATAAGACCCAGTCTCTTTCTACACGGGTACTAATAATTCTTCATGTGAAGTGCAAACCTAAGGATAAAACATTGTAGAGAGGAGGGTAACAGGGAAAACTTGACTCAAATAGTGTTACGGCATACTGTGAACAGGTTTCAAGTACTAGCCTCTGGCTTATCATAAGAATTTAAGAGCTAGAATGATTTCAAAAAGCAAGTATAGGTCAAGGTCCTGAATTAACTATTCCACGCTGAATTTCATGTACTCAAAGGCAGATATTGACATGAGTAAAACTGCAGCAAAGTATTATTTTTTTGCTAAAGGCTGCTCTCCTAGTCCCAGAAGATGATGAAATACTGTAGGAGCAGCAATATACAAACATTGTTTTTCTCTTTACTGCTAGTGCAATAACAAATCATGCTCTACAAAACAGAATATTCTTTCCTTTGTAAGACAATCCTTTCTCCCTTCCACCCCTAGCACTATCCCTCTGCAGAAAAGAAAGAGAAGAAAAAGCAAAAGCAAAAGCAGCGAATTTGTGACTGTGGAGTTGCAAAAGGATCCCCATTTCTTTTATGCCCACAGAGAAAGTGGAAGAGGGATAAGAGCATTGCCTGATGTCCTGCCAGGAATAACCATTGGCCTCTGGGGAAAAGCACAGTACCAGGTGCTTGGGACCTTATCTGAAAGGGATGAGATGGCCACCAGGCATCTCAGTTATACACCTCCTTTCTGCTGACCAAGTCTTGTCCCAGAGATGACAAGTACAAGCAGTTTGGGACACAGGCATCTCTATGCCAGGAACTGACTTGACTTACAGTCAAACAGTGACTATGGGATCAAGGTCATCACTTGTTTGGCATATAGGTGGTAGGACACTACAGCTGTTACCAACTACTGACAACCTCCAGAAAGTTTATCTAAATGTGCATTAATAGCTCCTATGAAGATATGAATTAGAGTAAAACAAATAGTGCAATAAATGGAGGTTTCCATTCTTCAGAAAAATGCAACTAAGCTGCAAAATGGAAAAAATAAAGTTTCTAAAAAATACTTCACATGCATAAATATGATTGCTTTTCCTATCAGAGGTTCATCCAAATAAATATGAAGTCAAATATATATAATAAGCTAAGTATTTTTAATGTTATTTCAAAGAACATAATTTTAAATCCTTTCATGCAATTAATTTTTCCTAGAACTTCACGTTTTATATAAAATATTACAATGTTAAAAATTCATTGGTAATAATAATATCCAAAAAAAGGAAGGTTTCAGTTGGACAGAGGTAGTGAAATTACGAAAGGATCCTTGTGGCAGGAAGGAGATTAATGCCTTCTTATTGGTTTGTTCACCTCCAGAGGTAGCAGAGATTGTGAATGCCAGTTTCTGTGCAAGAACAATACCAAAATCTGTGAGATCCAAACTCCATATTACTTTGTTTTAAAAATAATTTTCACTAGAATTAACAAGGCTCACAGCATGAAATTATTTTATTTCTTTTGGAATTTGTAAGTTTCCTGTTTATTAGATGCATTTTTAAAGCTGGAATTTGAAAAATAGGGGGGAAAATCTAAAATATATATGGGAAATGTGAACTCACATAATAAAAGGACAGTGGAGGTTATACAATTTTTCTGAATGGTAGCTTGTTCCATACTTGTGAAGGGATTCTGGCACCATTTTCCTGAAGTTTTTTTATTGCTACGGATGGGATACTCTATCAGAAGAATCTGTCTTTCATCTCATAATTTCTGTGTTCCTAAACTGCTCTACATCAGTAGAAGCTGGTGATCTGCTGTTTGATCCACAGTCACTGTTAAAGTACCAATATGTGTAACTGCAGCATGATTTTCCTTTCAACTGTGATATTAATTAATAAATAAAGGGGAAAAAAAAGAATCAACTGGTAATAAGGAGTTATAAATCCTACTAAAAATGGGTGGCAAGACCAGTGTTAAACATAGTTGTACCAAAGCTCCAACACCATATGAAAACAATTCCATCAGTATCAGCAATCTTCCTCTGTTTTAGAGTAAGTGCATTTGATTAAAACAAATGTATACAGAACCCACCTTCCTCCCTCAGGAGGCAACACAACTTCACTCTCTGAAACCCAGTCAACCAAGAAACTAACTTCTCCCTACTGCTTACCTTAGGTTTTCATTGGCCTCTAACTGAAAGCACAATTGTTCATGCTCAGGGATATGAGTAAGTTAACTAATGCCCACATTTAACTCCATCAGCAGGCACTCAGTTGTATTTGGTTTAGGCCCTACACATTGACTGAACACTGGTTTATCTGACAGATGTGTGACTTTACAAAGTGCGGTGGGGAGGAAGGGGAAGCTGTAGAGTCAGATAGCTGAAGTGATCTTCACGTCACAGAAAATACTGTTTTCAAGCCCATAAGTAGGTATCACCTATAAGTTTTCCACCTCATCAAATGCAGCACCAGAGCTGACCCTGAAGTGCTCTCTCAGCTCAAGGCATTATCATTTTAAGAACTGTATTTACACTTGCCTTAAGCTCAGACTTTCATTTTTTTGACCCAAGCAGAAGGATGAGTCAGGATAAGGGGAAATTAAGTATTCACACTGCATTTGTCCTCTGCAGTGTATTCACACCTAATTTTCTCTTTTTGGTGTTGTGTGTGTCCGTCTCCTCCCCAACACCATCTCTCCTGGAGGCTGGCTCCATAAAGCATTCTAGATGCGTGTCTGCTCCCAGACTAAAAGAGGTGCACTGAACTCCTTTACTTCATCTCATTCTTACTTTCCATTGGGTAATCTCTGAATTAATAAAACTGGAACAAAAGAAAACCTCACAAATGCACTGGCAGAAAAAACCTTGATAAATGTTTAAATTATTCAAAATCCAATATTTCAGAATGCATAACACAATAAAAAGAGTATGACTACCCCATACAAAAGACTGCTAGGATAAATGGTCTTGCATTGAACAGATTTCCACTGTATGAAATAACAAATGGTTGAATTATCTGAACAAAAAAACCCTCTGTGAATCTTCCTTTAAACTGGTTATTCCTTAGGAATATATAAATCTTCTTAGGCAGGGCACTCTGCCATCTGTTTGCTGTTGGTTATTTTTGCAGCTCTGGGGGCCAACGGAAAAGGGGAAAAAATTACTTCTGCTAATAGCAAAACAAAATTTATAGCACAGTTTCAATGCTCAGAAGTAATTTTATTTCAGCAAGCCAGACAAAACACATAACTACACAAACAGAACATAATATTACCTGGGACAGCTCTGGTGGGGGAAAAGCAAGCTATTATCTAATGGTCTTTTCAACAGCTTGTCTGTCCCTCTCCATCAGATGGTGCAGTGTGCTGTCTGGACTAACCAATGGCTTCCAAAAAAGCCTTTTTTTTTTTTTTTTTTTTACTCTTAGTGATTAGAAGCTTCCTTTCTGTTTCTTCTGCTCACTAAAACAGTAAGATAGTATTTTTGAAATACAAGACACTGCTAAGTGTCTCAGGAGTTCCTATGTAGAGGAAAGAAACTCTCTGGACATACTAGACACTAGCATCTCACAGTGGCCATTTTCTTCTCAAGAAGCAGAAACACATAAAATTGACAGGAAGGAAACATAGGGGAAGAGGCAAAGGATGAAGAAATTAAACAGGCTAAGAAGAGTAGAGAAAAAGATACCAACAAACAGGCTCTTGGTAAGACACAATTCAGGTAGTAAGGCATTTCTAAAGAAATAGACAAAAGTAAAAACAAAAACAACCAAGAAACAACATCATATTACCTTAGCACAACCTATTCAGCTTTCACAAAAACTTTAAAAACCCCAACATTTCAAAAAAGGATAATGTAATCAGTAAAGCAGGCACAGAAACTCCATGATTGGAATAAGTATTTGGGAGGATCCACTTCAAGGTCATTGAAACGTCATCCAAACACACCCCAATCAAAGAATTGATCTTTACTGAAGTATTATCTTGATGGAGGATAATTGTTAGGAGTTCAAGATGAATACGGACCATAAAGCACGTTTGTGCAGAACTACATTCACTTGCCTTCAAAGTCATACACAAAGCTGCAAGCAATTCTAAACTCATAAGTCATGATATGAAAGATAAATCCAATCACTACATTGAATATGCTTTTTTTATTTTTGCAAAAGGAAGTTATAATTAAATTTTATAAAATGACATTTAAAGACGTAAATGAGGAAAACCCTATATGAATTTTGTAAACAGTGAATATGGCCTATGTGTTCTGAACAGAGTAATTATATTAAGTGCTCAACTTTCAGCATCTTCAAGTCAGAGCAGGTGCACATCTCTTTTTTTTAAATTACTACCACATTAAATATCTGAAATTGCAACCTTAGGAAGTAAGACACTGAAAAGCAATAGCAGCCTCTTAGATGAGGTTATTCTCCTTCCCTCTCTTGCAGTCACATACACAGAAATATACATATACTTGCTGGTCAACACCTACATCAAACTGAGTCCGAGTGTTGCTGGAACTGTTCAAAACACTCTACTCATCTATGTGCTGTGCAAAAGGACTTAATGAAAAATGTATGAGTTACATTTTTACAAAAAAAAAAGTGAGCACCTTAGCTTAGTTTTGAATCACTCCAAACCACCCAAGAGGGGTGAATTAAATGAAGAAGGTTGTTCCTCTGCCACCAGTCCAGGGCTGATGCTGCTAAGGCGATTTATGGAGGAAGGACACTGCTGAAAGTTACTCACCATTACCTGTTGAACTGTTCACCATGTTAGGTGCCATGCTGTAAGGAGGAGCCTGCGGGTTCATCAAGCCAGAGCTGTTGTTCATCGGCTGAGTGTAGGGGGAGCTGGATCCCATAATACCACTCTGATTCATGGCAGGAAAATTGCCTTGCCTAGGAGAAGAAAGCACACATACAATGTCTCATTACGTACCTCATTGCTGAAGATGCTGTGGTTTGTCACAGAGTACAGCTCCTATTGTTTGCAAATAGCTAAGGAGAAAGCACGCAATTAGTTCACTTTACCAATATAGGGGGCTTTGAATTAGTCTTGAACAAGTTATATATATATATCTGAGATAGAACTGGAGTGAAGACTATTCAAGAGAGGTATACAGTGTCTTTATATGCCACTACCAATCAGCAGAAAAATACAACTCAGATTATTCACCTATAGTAGACAGCAATGTGATTAGGAGTCAAAATTAGAACCTAGCATTGGCATGAAAAAAAAATCCAGCGAGTTGCCATTTGACCATGTAATAGCAATCTTTACCTGTCATAGCTTAACAAACAGTGAAATGACCAGAAGAAAAATGGGTACCACAGACTCAGTTTCTGATTTCTATATCTGTTGTTATTGCACTGAACACAGTGTTCATTTGTACATGCCATCTATGTCCAATCTTTCATATTACACTTTGTTGAAACAATAAAAAAACCTCAGTAGAACTATTTTGCTTTTGAATATTAACCACATATTTGTATAATGCTTTTATAACTGAGACTTATATTTATCTGAAAAACTAGTGTAAATTAAGCCCTTACATAATGCTCCACATGTTCAGATCTTCAGACTAAATATTTTTAAGGACTAAAAATTATATCCTTTTAAGTTCTTAAAAGTATCTTAGTATGCTTGGTACTTGATTTATCAAATTCTATAGATTAATTGAGGCACAAGGAAGAAAATAGTCCAATCCAAGTAAGCCGAATAGCCCAATGTAATGCAGGATTCAACTTAAAAAATAACCTTTTATTCTTTTAATCCATCAAACAATTATCTACCTTTTCTTAGTATAGCTGAAGGCAGCACATATTACAATATTTATGGGGTAAGGCTCATACATATAAAATCATATAGATAAATAAAACCCCATGCAAAAATATACTTACTTGTATATTCATAGACTACATAGGAAATCCAAAACTCAGACCTGTTTCTTCAGTGTACCCCCTGTAAATTTATGCTGTTTTTCTAAATAAAAGAAACAAGAAAGCAACCACCCCTTTACATAGCTTTAGTACCTGTCAGCTTTTATTTCCTTACAAAAAACAAAGCATTTAATGCTATTCTACGGGCAGGGAAAGCTGCATGTCCTGATAGCAAGATAGAAGTTTTGGTATAAATTCTACTTTTAATTACTAATCAGTATTCAAACAAAAAAGACAACACCTAAACCAAGAACCCTCAGTAACTTCAGTGGCTTTTTGTCTTCTTGAAACTCATAGCAGATTCTTAATGCAATCGGTAAGAATAGATTTCTTTTTTAGGAGGTACAGGAGAAAGACCATTAAAGCACTATTTGGCCTAATTTTTCTTGACACATTGTGAATTTCTTCAGAGGAAAAGAGAACGTGTTATCTAAATAAAGCATCTCTTTCCAAGTCAGTTTTGTCCTTTGCTCTCTGAAGACAAACTTTTCTCACTCTTGTAAAGAGGCAAAGGCTTTCTTTTGATATGAAGGAGACAACTGCCATACAATGTCATTTCCCTGATGAAGCTTGCAAGGAGAAGTGGAGGGAAAAGATTTAAAATGCACGGTGGTGCAATGCTCCAAGGGAAAATTACAAAGGGAAAGGAGAAGAGCAGAACCATTTGGCAACAACTTTAAAAGATTTCAGTCATACAATCAAGCTTTTCTTATGTAAATACTGTATCTCAAACATCCCCACCCCCCTTTTTTAGCTGAAAATTGCTGTATTTCAACAAATGCAGTTAACTGAAAAATTCTTTCTATGCTGGATAAGCAAGATCCTTTCTGTTACTGGATAAAGTTACTAGCGAAGATGAAAAAATGTGCAAGTTTATTTTTACACTTTAAAATAGAAGTAATAGATTTTGAGATATTCTTTTATGGAGTAAGGCTAGGATTCTGGAAAAGGCAAGTCTCTACAGGTATCTATCTCTTCGATATCCTTCTTTTGCTTTAAAAATACACAGGAGATACACACCTTGCAGGTAAGCAGAAATTGGTCCTTACCTACTAATATTTCAATACTATTACTTTCTATAGCATGCATATCTTCTAAGCTGTGGGGTTGTTCGTTGTCTTAAATTGAGGTATAACCTATTTCATGTTACCTAGTATGGACATCAATCTCAACTGTAGCTCACAAAAGCATACTGCTGTACAACAGCTTTAAATCAAAAAGTAGGAAACTGTTTCCAGTTTAGACAGAAAGCAGAAATTAAATAAAAACAATACACTAGCTTCAGCCAGGACAGCAAGAAAACAACTGAAGTCTAAAAAAATTGCTTCTGTACCCAGAAGGACCTGAATGGCAGAACCTAATTCTGAAATTTCATCTGGCAAGGCAATAACTATTCCTTTCATCCTCCCATGTAATGCCACACTTGGAACGGACACAGCTCTCCATCTCTGGAAAGAGGCCAGCAAGTGAAAAGACTCAGCACCATCCCTGGCAGGACTTTGTCCTTCCCCAGCCCCCTATCAAAGCACTGCCCTCAGTACGCATGAGCAAATTCAGTAACGCTGAAAGGACATCCTGTAAGAGTAAACGTTATTTTATCCTGAGACTGGGTGCAGTGAGCAGTACAGAGCTCCTCCACATATTATTTTGCTCTATGATGGCTTGGAATGGAAAGTTTCTTTAGGGAGAAATAATCAGGTATTACTTTGGCCTTTAATTCTCACTCCACAGTGGGCGTCCTTTGAGTAAAGACTGCCGACTGTGACAAATTGTGCTGCATCAGTGCTATAATATGAAGTGGAGTCCATTAAGAACTGAGCTGAGATCACCAAACTCATTTTGATTAACCTCCAGGTCACTAAACACTTATAAATATGTTACACAGCAGCTGCTAAACATATTTATATATGCTTAAGGTCACAGCATCATCTGTTGGTTGTTGGACTTAAGTCAAAAATCTTATGTTTCCTTCTGTGCTGCTTTTAGTAAAGGCATATCCAACATACTGTTTAAGAAGTAGATATCTCAAAGCATAGTACTAGACTCTCTCCTACATCTCCCAATTCTCTCCTCCATTCTTCTGTATCACTAAATAAAAATCAAGTATTTTAAAAACAGTCTGGTGTACACGTAGTGACATCTAATGGCAAAAATTCAGCTGACCGGCTATGAATTCTACAGCAGAACAAATGCAGTTAAGTATACAATTTTACAATATTTGCCACACAAACACAAAGGGCTGGGTTGCTTAGGGATGATGTAATTAGGAATAATAGGAAGAAATTAAGAAAAGAAGCACTTATGTTGAATATAATGAAAAGATGCCTTCACAGTGTGATGCAGTTACCCACTAAGGGAATGAAGGAAACTAGTACTCGACACTTCTACACACAGGCAACACATTACGAAATGTACTGGTCAGAGAAATCCTGCATTGCATATGAACTAGACAACTAGAAGACAATATTGTGATCTCAGATTATGTATTTTCCCCATTTAGAGGAAAAAGCAGCCAAGTCAATACAAAGTTAGGATTATGCTATCAATTTAAACACAATATCTAAGCCTACACATTTCTTTTTTCTGCTCTACTGCTACAAGTAGATTTTCAAGAATTCAGCAAATGGAAGAGATTAAAAGTGGGAATGGGGGAATCTACTTGCTTTCTGTGGTTTATTTACTCTGTTGACAATTTAGCAAGGCACAGCACTTGCATAATACCAGAGCCAGATGTTACACTTGAGGAAAGGGCTGCCACCTCAGGGGATCTGGGCAGGCTGGAGGAATGTGCTGACAGGAACCTTCTGAAATTCAACAGGGACAAGTGCAAGGTCCTGCACCTGGGAAGGATGAGCCCTTTGCAGTGGTGCCAGCTGGGACCTGACCACAGGGAAGAAGCTTTGCGGAAAAGTCCCTGGGCATCTTTGCAGACAGAGCTGAGCGTGAGCCAGCAGACTGTCCTGGCAGAGGTGCAGAGCTGGGAGATGTAAGAAACTGGTCATCCCTTCCTTCCTCAGCACTCATTAGCCTCTATCTAGAGTATCCTGTCCGGTTTTAGATCCTCCAGTAAAGAAAAGATGATGATAAACCGGAGTAAGTTTAGCAGAGGACCCCTTAGATGGTCAGGGCTTGAGCACTCATCCTGGAGGGGCTGAAGCAGGACTGTTCAGCTTGGGGCAGAAAGAGCTGTCGACAGGAGCCTACAGCAGTCCCCTAGCATCTAAAATGTAGTTAGCAAGAAGATGAAGCTGGGCTTTTCACAGTGCGGCACAGTGGGAGGACTAGGCACACTGGGCAAGAGTTAAAACACTTCAAGTTCAGACTGGACGCAAGGAAAACATTTTCCCCATGAAAACAGTCAGAAATTAGATCTGGTGGCCCAGAGGGATTGGGAAATCTCTGTCCTTGGAAGTTTTGAAGACCCAACAGGATAAATTCATGAGCTCTAAGCTGAGCCTGATGAGAAAAAGGTCGGACTACAGACCTCTTGAGGCTCCTTCCAGCTTGAATGATCCTATGATCCTAGCCTGTCAGCTTCATTGTGCTGCTGATAGTCTGGTGTACTACTGGGTCCAAAATACAACTGATCAAATTCAAAACATTTCCTTTTAAGAAGGTCCTGTTCTGCTCTTTTGTTTTCCTTCATTTGCAATCTACCCAAAGCTTAATCTGTACTTAATCTCTTTTCTCTGCAAACAAGTAGCATCAGATCTAATTGTGTCCTCTGAGCTAACGCAGAAGTCTGTGTTTTTAAAAAGAGATGTCATGCAAGATCTGGTCATCGTTAAAAAGCCAAACAAAGAAATTGTAAGGAAGAACAGCAGTGACAATACAAAGGAGCACATGAGTGATCACAGCTGCCGAGCAGTGTCTCTTATACGGAGATGTCTTTCTTTCATTGGACCTGAAATCCACAGTACCTTCACGTGTTGTCTCCGACTGCTACACAGCAGTCACTC